TAGTATTTGCAACCATTATGATTACATGCACTGTTATGTCACAGATTGTTAGAGATTGAGGGGTCATTAAGTTTATCAAATGTTCTGTTCAGGAGTCCAATACCACTGAAAGGCACTAGGATTTTTCCTCAGGATGCTAATATAGAGAATAGAACTTATTGTGGCTTAAGACATTAGCTCTAGACTTGGATACTCCTTTTAAAGGCAGCAATCATCATTTTTGTGCAAATTAACATGAATCATTCAGTGATCAAAAAATGGAAAGGGAAAGGGAATTGAGTTGAAATGAAGAATGCAGAATGAAGAAAGGTTCTTTGAAAAGGCGAATGAACATGTCCCCACCCATTTATGTATTTGCATGGCATTCTGGGTCAAATTAAAAATATCTGAAACCAATGTGAAATATATCCATACGTCTAACATTAACAGAAAATAACTTTGATTAAAACATGTTGTTTTTCAAAATCATTGAGTGAAACATACCAAAATCCATAAAGTGCTCAGCACAAGCCACAAGTGTGCTGGTCATTTGTGCTGAGCATAAGTGATATGAATAAGAGATATGGACAAAATGCCTGCAAATAACTAAGCATCAACTTACATATTGTTTTCAATCTCTAAGCCCTGAATACCTGTTGAGTATGTCAGAATTGGGAAAAAATAGGCTTGGATGTATTGGTATGTTTTTTGCATCTGTTTGCAAGATTATTGCAATGAATCCTACACAAGGTCCAATTTGAGTCTTGAGTCTTGACAAGGAAAGTCTATTTTTCCAGAAAATATGTAGACACTGAAGGCACCCACTGATAGCAGCTCCAAGTCCAAAGTTTGTATTTAACATCACAGATAGACTTTGGAATAAGACTGTTTAACTGTGATATATATCACTGTTCAGTTCAGGGTCTAATTTTTCTTCTACCATGTTACTGATTGTTGCTTTAATAACTTTAATAGTTATTGCAGAATGGAAACAAACTTACTTTATTTTTATCAGTGATCAGGCCAGATTTTTTCAGTCTTCGGAGATTGTCTTTACGCTTGTAGTAAGCACGCAGGTGGGGGTCATGAAGACTTTTGTATTTGGGGGCCATGATCTTACAGTACGGATCACTCAGATCAAAAGTAGCTGATGGCTGATAAAGCTGAAAGAAACACAAAAGATTGATGAGAACAAAGAAAGAAGGCATCCCTCAAAACCTATTGGGACTCCCCTCTGGAGAAAGCACCATGACTAATCTACCAGTGGCTTGAAAAGTTACTAAGTCACTAAGAAATATTAGGAAATGTTATGCTAGGAAAGAGCCTATGAAAAAAATTACATATAAAAGCATGCCACAGAGTCCTTCTTGAGGGAGATGGGTGATTTAGAAATAGATAGATTTAGATAGATAGATAGATAGATAGATAGATAGATAGATAGATAGATAGATGGATGGATGGATGGATGGATGGATGGATGGATGGATGGATGGATGGATGGTTGGATGACAGACAGACAGACAGACAGACAGACAGACAGACAGACAGACAGACAGATAGAGTATTCCCACACTGGTTTTTACTAAGAAAGGTAGCTTCAAGAGAAATTGCCAGAAATCAGAAGAATTAAGAGTTCTTTCCCACTTCTATTTCTGAATTTCTTTCTCGGGATGGTTTTAGTTTTTTAAAAATAACACTGGGACACTTCTACAAGTTTTCATGCAACATGCCCCATAAAAACGGTTTCTTGTTCCATTCTTTTGTGTTTTGTGTCCACAACATTCCATGGAAAGCAGAACTGAGATAGTCTCTCTTCACCTTTTCACCCAAGTTTGTTCTGTAGAACATGGTATTGGAGCCAGGCAGAAATGGGATCTTGGTGAAAAGTGGCATGTCCAGAATTTGGTTGGGTCCCACAACTGGCATCTGTTTCCCAGGACCCAACTAGAAGAGAAAAAAAAAACACGCAGAGGAAGCATGTTATTCATTATCTGTTTTCCATAACTCAACAAGCAGCAGTAATTTGCTTCAGTAGCTTTTTAAGATCTCCAAGAATATACACAATATTTGATCCATTAGGTTTGATTTGGTCTCCCCTTCCAAGCCAGGGTTTGTTTGTTTTCTTGCTTGTTTGTTTATTGAATTTATTTTCCATCAATCTTGTGGTTCTGGTGACTTTGAGCAGTTTACATAAAATAAAACCCACAAGCATTCAACAATTATATGTTATGCCGCTTGCATAATAATAGTGTTACATATGTCCTCCTAGGGCCTTCAAAACTGTCTGCACCATTGCATTCTGGATCAATTGTACCTTCCGAATGCTCTTCAAGGGTAGCCCATGTAGACGGGATTGCAATAATCCAAGTACAAGATGACCAGAGCTAAGTGCAGAGCCTCACATCTAGAAAAGAGTACAATTGGTGTACTGCACAAAGTTGTGTGAGGGTCTAAATTCTATGACTGCCACCTGCTCTTCAAGCAGGAGTCATGAGTCTAGGACAGGGGTAGGCAACCTTGGCTCTTTTATGACTCATGGACTTCAACTCCCAGAATTCCTGAGCCAGCAGGAATAGCTGGCTCAGGAATTCTGGGAGTTGAAGTCCATGAGTCATAAAAGAACCAAGGTTGCCTACCCTTGGTCTAGGAGAACCCCCATGTTGCACACTGGGTTTAGTTGAGGTAGTGCCACCCCATCCAGAACTAAAGATGATAAGCCTCTGGATTGCCAGGCTCTGCATATCCACAGCCACTCCATCTTACCAGGGTTCATTTGAAGCCTGTTGTCCCCCTTCCAGGCCCCCACAGCCTCTAGGCTCCACAAGTTTTCAGAACAAAACTGTATTTACTGCATTTTTTTCATTTCATTCATCTTTTCTCCAGGAAGCTCAGAGAGAATCCAATTTTTCCTTCTCATACATTAACTTGGCTATTGGGACTTTATACATTTTGATTATTTTTACATATTTTTTAACATGCCCTATTTGTCTGGAAAAAAAATCTTTATTTCTTAGCCCCAAGTAAACTCCATTATATTTATTTCTTTTACATAAATAAATATTTCAGGGGAATTTACAGACATCTTTCTTGACTTCTGACAGACACCAAGGCTCGTCTAATTTTTTTAACCTGTTCAGTTGTTTTAATTAAAGAAATAAACATAAAATCTAAAATGCATCAATACAACACCCTTCAATATGAGAAATGAAGTATACTACATAAATATCATTGTACAGAAATATACTGCATTAAACCAGAAGATGGAATAATAGATGGTTAGATTTAATATATTAAAGGATTGAGCTTGTTCTATATTGGTGTTTTTATTTATTCAATTTCTATAGCTTCTGATCTATTTTATTATTTATTTTTAGTTTCTTCAAACATCACTTACTTACTTACTACTTTGTATATTCTTTTTGATCATATTAACAGCTCTGACTGTTTTAGGCCATCTATGTCAAAATTGAACAGCCCTCTCTCAACAGAGCAGGAGGGATCTGACATCATCTATCTCCAGTCTACAACACAGTCCTTTCAACAGTTCAAAGAAGGCTCCACACCCATTTGCACTACTCAGGTTACCCTGAAGACACAGATAAGCCTCCAGGTAGCTTTAACAACTTGCTAAAAGAATACAAATGAACAGCTGTCTGCAGGAGTATAAATCCTTCCATTCCCCACCATCCAGTCAGATCTGAAAAAGTTTCTTGGAATAAGAAGTGAAACATCTTAAAAGAAAAACAAGTAAGTCCAGTTGCCTCTTGAAAAAGCATCTTTGGGATAACTATGACCTGGATGACTAAGAATCTCCAGTAGATTGGTCTGAGCTACTTACCAAAAGGAGAACTAGAATACGTAAATAGAATAAGCCCTAAGTTTATACGGAGAGTCAATTTGGTGTAGTGGTTAAAGCATCAGGGTAAAAACCAGTTCATGAGTTCTAGTCCCATCTTAGGCATGAAGCCAACTGGGTGACCTTGGTCCTGTCACACTCATCCCTAGGAAGCATCCACATTTCTTAAAAGTTGCCAAGGTTGAGAAGAAACACTGTCCCACTGCAATAAAGAGAGTTGGTTCAACTGCAGTTTTTCCTCCCGCACTTACTTCTATCACATCCTCTTCAGGTTCCATGGCCTCAAGTGCCGTCCGGGCACTTTCTGTTAAGTAATGTCCCATGGCTGCCTTTAGGACCCCTGGGTTGGGGTACGTCATCTTGATGGTTCACGGTGAGCTGCTGCCCTTGCAGGACATAGCTTCCAACTGCCACCTCTTAGCAACCCTTCTAGAACATTCCTAGACGTTGTTAGCAACAAGGGTTCTACTAGTTTGGTCCTAGTTGCTACCCTCACATTCTCTGTGGAACTTTCAACATTTCACAGGAAGGAATTTGATGCTGGAATCCCATTCTGTCAGGTGATCCAGATGCTTCCTTACTTATACAGTGTAACATGGAAGCAAAACTGTTGTATGAATACAGTAATTATTATACAGTAGTCACTAAATGATACAAGATACTTAGATCACGATGAATCAGGTATTTCTTGAGTTTATTATTTCAGAAATGAGCCTCTTTGTTGTCTCGGACTGTCTAATGGAGTTGTGATGCTGAGTGTAGGGACAAATTATTGAGAATAAAATCTCCAATCTTGACTTGATTCCTTTCTGTCAGTGACAACTGACTCTATTTCTATCCTGATTTCAAGCACCTATGGCTTGAAATAGCTTCTCCCATGCTCCGCATAAGGAAGTATGCTGAATGAAATAAAAAGCTTCTCTAGTTTATCCCCAGAGTGGCTATCCAAATGCCAAGAGTAACAGCACCTCCCACCTATATTCTCCAGAAACTGGTACTGAGCTACATTGCCTCTGGATATATCCATCATAATTAGTAGCCCTTGATAGCCTTATCCTGTATGCAGTTCCAATTCTCTTTTGAAACCATCAAAACTGATATAAAAAGGTATCACTGCATCTTGTGGCACTGATTTACATGTAGTCAGAATTTCCTGAACTGATCATAATGGCTCATGAAACCCTCCAAATCACATATACTCTCCATGTACTAAGCTATGACTCCCATATTTTTATAATTCAGGTTGGAATTTCAGGTACCATAAGCCAAGACATGGTGGGGGCTAGTTTGGAAAATGAACACCCTGGAAGTGTTCCCAGCCCCATTTATCATGGTCCATTGTTTTTAATTTCTTTTCAGTTCTACAACATCCTCCTTCCTGAAAGATGGGAACTAGAGTTGTAGGAAGAATCTTGTGTGCAACTATATGATGAACTCATATTCAGATTTGAATTTTTATTTCAACCTTTCAAAACTTTCAGTGCATTACACTTCGCCTACGTTATCAATCATCTACTAACATGTATTTCCTGTCTGGCCAGCATGTTCAATGTAACCTGCCATCTATAATAAAACTGGGATCTCTTTCCTGGTGCAATCACTTTATTTACACTTATTTGAAACAACTCTTATTTGCCCATTCAGTACATTTGGATTCATATTTTGGGAGACTGTTAGAATCCAAGTGGATTTCTTCACTAGCAAGAATAATCTGTTGTTGACTGAGGACTTTTGCTTTGAAACTAAACAGCTTTGTGTTAAAAAGCCCGCGACAGGATGTGCTGTACATCCATGATGAAGTGGCGCTCAGAGTCAGACACCTTGTGGATAGATGGGATGCTGTGATGAAGCTTTAGCTAATTGAACACTTCATCTCAAGTTTACATATCTTCATGGACAAGGTTAACAACTTTTGATTTTTTAAATTTTATTTTGGGTGACAGCTGTAAATCCAGATGCAAAAGAGACCTAGAAAAAAATGCATGTTATTAGAAGGACCAAAAATAGTCATGCAAACTATATATACATAGAAATATACACAGAAATACGATGTATGCTCACTGACACAGACACACACCCATTTGTTCCAATAAAAATGCACAACAAATTTATTTTTTATTTATTTGTTCAGTTTCTATGTCCTCCCATTTCAGTCAATGACTCTGTGCAGCTTATAATTCAGAAAATATATTACAATTATACTTTTAAAAAGCATTTTAAAACAAGAAAAACATTAAAAACATCCAATTCAACATATGCAAGAGCAAGATACTGTATTTGGCCAGTTAGCAATATAGCCAGGAAATGGGGCCCTTGGCACATTCAGCATCCCAGCCAGATTTTTACGAAAGGCTAACAGTGTTGGGGCCAACACTGGGAGAATGTTCCATACAGCAGAGTACCTGGAAAGGGATAACTCAGAGCTGCTAACTCCTTGCCACCACCAGGTCTCTCTGCCAACTCACAGCCACCATGTCGTTGTAGGACATCTAAACACGGGAACTTCGCTGCAGGGACAGCTCACTGCGGGCACCAGATGGCTTTGAGCCCATGTGCCCAGCTCTCAAACTGGTGCTGTCCCACCGACCACCGCTGCCCTCTGACAGCCCACTTGCCTACCCACCCGGCTCTCCATTTAGCGCCCACAGCAAGTTTCACACAACAATAGAATCTAAGAAGCCCACAAAGAGATCAAGGCAGCCCTCCTCTCCTATTGTTGCTTCTGTCCACTTCTGTTTCCCCAAAGGTAAGCCCCCAGAAAATCAAGCCCCAGCTTGATTTTCAGGGGTGGGCCTAATATAAACCCCCCCAAAAGTAAGACCTAGTTTGGGGGAGGGTGGGATAGGGGAGGGTGAAGCTGCCCCATGTGCCTGGCACACCTTACTGGTAGGACCGCTACAACAAGGCCTCCCACACCCCGACACTTGTCAAGCCATGTGGCTCGTCAAGCTCATGCTGCCGCTCGTGGCAGGAGGTTGCACAACACTTCGGGCTGTTGTTGCTCACGGCGAGAAACATGAGTGGCGGAAACATCCCAAAACACCATGCGGTGTCCTGCCACGAGCGACAGCATTGGCCCGAAGAGCTGCTCGCCTGAGCAGCGGAAATGGCCTGAAGCGCCATGTGGCATCCACTCAGCCTCTTGCTATGAGCAACAGCAACGGCCTGAAACACTGTGCTACCTGCTACCGCAAGCAGCGGCACTGGCGTGACGAGCCACACAGCTTGACAAGTGTTGGGGCGTGGGAGGCCTGGCTGCAGCAGTCCTACCGGTAAGCGGATGTGGAGCACATGGGGTAGCTTCACCCCCCCTGCCCCTTAGAGCGGCAATGATGCAATGTGCCACATGGCTTCCAGCCACAAGGGGCGGCAATCAGCTGCTGAAGAAGTCAAGCAGCGGCACGTCAGGTGTTGGAGAGTGGGAGGCTTGGCGGTGGTGGTCCTAAAGTAAGACACCCCCCAAAAGTAAGGCCCAGTGCCTCTTTTGGAGGCAAAAAAATATAAGACTGGGTCTAATTTTCGGAAAAACACAGTAGTATGCAGAAGCCGACTGCCCATGCCACCATGCCTGCAGGCAGGACCCAATCATTAAGGCCACTGATCAACTTGCCCACTAGGAACTTGTCTAGCCCTCTTCTAAAGTCGTCCAAACTAGCGGTACTACCACAGCATATGCCACCTGTTCAAATTATAGGTTGATTATCCACTAGGTGAAGAAATGTTTCCTCCTATTGGCTTCAAATCTTCTACTGGTCAGTTTCATTGGATAACTTCTAGTTCTAGTATTATGGGAGATGAGGAAACTCTTATCCGTGTTTACACTTTTTTTACTTTGTTTAATATTATGAACGTCAGTCTTTCCTTACAAACAACTTTTCCCTAAGCTGAACAGTTTCAACTGTTGTCCCTGTAAAGAAGTTGATCAAGTTCCTGCTCATCTTGCTTGCCTACTTCTACAAGCCCTCCAGATCCATTATATTCTTGTGATGTGGTAACCAGAACAAAACACAATATTCTAAAGACAGCCACCCCACGGACAACTGAAAGGCTTATCAAAGAATTTCTCAAATACTTGAAAGGGGGTCATCATCCACCTCAAAGACTATTATCTCTGTTGTCCCAGAATGCAAGATAATAGATTCAGGAACTTAAGTTACAGGATAGCACATTGCAGTTGACTGTTAAAGAAACATCTGATTAGGTAGAGCAGCTCAATTATGGAATTGGTTATCAAGGGAAGTAATAGTATCTCTTTTCACTATTCACTATATTGGACAATTAAATTTTTGCACTGAGTAGGAAGTTCGATTTAGTGGCTCGACTTAGTGGCTCTTCCAATCTTTAAAGTTTCTACTAATCTTACTATACAGAGTAGCAAATTGGGATACCAATCAATTAAATAAATTAGACTTAACTGCCTTTTTAACATGGCACTCTACTGCAAACATGGCACCTCTGATTTAGTGCAATAGAGTCCTGTATTGCCATAAATTATACAATAGAAAAAAGGAAGAAATGTGGAGAGGAGGACAAAAGGGGGGATGGAAAGTATATGAACTGATTTCATATACATATACGTATACAAAATTTTACCTTTAGGTTATAATGGAATATGAGGAACACTGCCCAGCCACTAAGCAAACTACTTCTGAATATGAGGGTCTCCTATAAGTCCCTTTTAAACTGACATCTTCATATTTTTGCATAAAAAGTGAATTAATTTCTGCAATAGCTTCACCTTCCCACCAATCAAGTTGGAAAAAGTTCAACTTCTACAAAAACATTTTCCTGAATCTTGTACCCACCTTAACCATGTAGGGAGGGTGATGTGCTGGCAGGGATGCAAGCTTCATGCTGGAGAATAGTTGTAGAAGTAATAACTTCCATATGCCACAATTCCAAACCACAGCATTGCTCCAAAAAATCGCATCACCTTTTTGTCCAGCTGCACTAAATTGGGTTTAGGGAAGAGAAAAATTATTTATTCTTTATCATATCAAATGAAATAGCTGCTCTCTAGTAAAACTTGTGCCAAAGGAAACAACAGAGAATGAAGGAGAGAGTCAGATAAGGAGGAAAGAAGAAAAGAAAGCACATTTATTTCATACATATGTGGTAAGATGGGCAGCCAATAGATTGGATAAATAAATACAATAAATATGGGCAAGATTTGGGTTTAAATTGGCAGGAGAAATACCGCTAGTCCTCAACTTTTAACCACAATTGGGACTGGAATTTCATTTGTAAGTTAGTGTGGTCATAAGTTGAGTCATCGTGTGACTGGATCTGATTTTATAACCATTTGTATGGCAGTCATAAGGTGAATTGAGCTTCCCCAATGGGTGTTTAAAAGGTCACCTTTAAAAATGTGAGTTGTTTGTCCAGCCTCATAATTATAATTGTGTGACCGTGGGATATTGCAATGGTTTAAGTACAGGTTATAAGGCACTTTTTTTGAGGCTGCCGCAACTTTGAACTGTTGTTAAACAAGCATAAGTTGAGCACTACTTGTATACAGTAATGGCTCAATTCACACTGTCAGCCTTTCCCAATTAACTGGGTGGGTTTGGCCTACAATTTCTGGATTTCCACATCAGGAAGGAATTCCAGGAGTTGCTCTGATCAGCACCCCCTGCAGACTAGGAAAGGCTGCTACATATAACAAGTGATTTTGAAGGATAATTTTTATGACAGGTCTGATGAGGAGAAAAGAGTTTCTAAATTCTCTGTGAATTTGGCATCATTTTGTCAAAAAGTTCCAATCTCTGTGCATCTGCACAATACTCAGCTGCCAGGGTCCACTTCTGGAAATATAGATTTGATTTGGGGGGGTGATGTAGGGGGGCAAAGACCATCAGGACAAAAGTGTCAAGATGTGGGCTACATCTTTATGATGAATGCTCTTTCCTTTTGTAATATGGTCATGCCCATGCAACGTGGGGGCTTCCATCCCGTAGTTGTGTTTGCTCTGTTGACTGTTAGACTGGCTAGTAAATGAGCTAGAAAACACTGTTGGTGAATCTTCTTTTCAATGATAGACTGATCTGGAATTGCAAAGAGTAACATATGGGGCCCAAACATGTTTAACAGGGGAACCAGATAAGGACACTGGCCCCATTGCAATTGATAATTAAAATAAGGCTCTCTGGGTGATATAACCTTTCCTCCCTCACACACAGCCACCCTAGTATGGCACTGTGACTAAAACATGGGACTAAGACTGAGGAAGCCCTTAATACAGTGGTTCTCAACCTGTGGGTCGGGACCCCATTTGGGGTCGATCGACCATTTCACGGGGGTCGCCAAACAATGCAGTCCGCCATTTTTTTCTCCCTTTTCCTTAGCTGTGCTACTCCCTTTTATTCTATTGGCTTTTAAAAGTCAATAGGAATTGTCCAGGCTGTCTCTGCCCTGCTGAGCCCACTAAAAGTCCCATTCTGCAAACGGTGCTGCACCAGTTGAGTAGTCCTCGACTTACGACCGGTTGAGTAGTCCTTGACTTACGACCGGTTGAGTAGTCCTCAACTTACGACCGGTTGAGTAGTCCTCGACTTACGACCGGTTGGGGGTCACGGCATTAAAAAGGTTGAGAACCAGTGCCTTAATAGGTGTGGTGCTGTCTTTGACTGAACTGGTTGTTATTGTTGTCTGAAGGCAGCTGGGTTTCCTGGTTTCCTGCAAGGGTTGATATAAGCCTTACAACAGTGGTTCTCAACCTTTCTAATGCCGCGACCCCATAATACAGTTCCCCATGTTGTGGTGACCCCCAACCACTTATAAATCACCGGGTGCCAGGGGCGTGGCCAAAGAAAAGAGGGAAAAAATGGCGGACAGCCTTGTTTGGCGACCCCCGTGAAATGGTTGTTCGACCCCAAATGGGGTCCCAACCCACAGGTTGAGAACCACTGCCTTACAAAGTCCCTATGAATGGAATATGGTCAGCATGAAGAGGGCCTCTGAACATGTGCATGCCCCTCTTTTGCTTAACCATCTTTGCACAACCCTCACCCGATGCCCCATGCTTGACACGCTTGAGCTCCAGGGCGCCGTCGGGTCGCCCCGGTGCGAAGACGGCCGTGTGCACCTCCATGGATCCGGCACCCTCGGACTGGAAGATCTCACGGAGCAATTTCTCGAGTTGCACGAGAGCCGGCTTTTCTTCGTCGGGCCGCGGCTGCACGATCACACCCACCAGGGCAGCCGGGGAGTCATGGCTTTGATCCCGCACGCCCTGCAACACCTCCCGCATCCGCTCGGGCCGCTCCCGCAGCGACGACGGCCGGCATAGGAAGAAGATCAGCTGGCCCGACGGCGTGGACGTCAGGGCGTGGGGCGCCGGCAGCGGCCGCAGAGCAACAGGGCCGCAGGGGTCAGCGGAGCCGGGCGGGCTGCGGGTGGAGGCGCCGGCCGTCGGGGGCAGCACGTGGTGGGCGAAGGAACTGAGCACGGTTTGGCCCCCGTCGGACCCCCACGACTCGCCGGCCAGCAGCACCACCTGCGTGCGCTGCACCACCGTCCCGTCCTCGCACGGTCCGGGTTCGCTCTCGCCAGCCACGCCGCGACCGCCGGTCCGCCGCCCGCCACCCGAGCTCCCGCCCCGCTGCTCTTTGCGCTCCATGCCGCCCGGATCCAGCCGCTCGCCGCGCCGGCGTCGCTCCCCGCGCGCCTCTCCTGCGTCTTGCGCAGGTGTCACAATCGTCCGCCGGCCCCTTCGGGGCGTAAGGAGCAGCGTGGAGGCCTGGGCTGTGACCCGGCGTCTCTCCTGGGGGGGTGGGGGAACCAGGCTTAGCGAGCTGGGCTTCGTGCCCAGGGAGCCCCCGACGCGAGCGCGCCTCCCTCCCGGGCGCTTTGGAAGGAAAGTCGGTCTTCTGCTTCATTCTGCGGTTCCACGACCCACAATCTATGTGGTCGATGCAGCCTCTGGCCACGATCCTACACCTTGTTTTTCACCCTTAAGGGCGAGAAAGGAGTCCATGGAGAATGTAGAAGAAGCAAGAGGGGCTTCTTCTACATTCTATAGAACTCAGCTCGGACAAGGCATTTTGCATGCATTTCTGAAGTTCAACCAGTTTCCTTTTCCCTGTCCTCCCTAGCATACTAACCTGTTTAGTTACATATACATACATACATACATACACACACACACACACACACACACACACACACACCACACACACACACCTTGACTTACAACTGGCCACTTAGGGATTGTCTGAAGTTATAACTGCCCTCCCTATGGGTACTTATGACCCAGATTCAAAGTTCCAGTGTTCACATGATGACATTTCAAGCATTTAGCAACCAGCCCACATTTGTGGCTGTTTGTAGCATCCTGCAGGCACATGACCATGTTTTGCTATGTTTTTGCTGCATTTACTTCTGGTTCTTAGCAAAACCACCTCCGTAGCAAACCACTAGTTTGCTTTACTACCATGGCATTTGCTTAATGACTGCCTCAAAAAAGGCCATAAAATCAGTCATGTGGGTGACCTGATTTGCAAACATCACAAGTTATGATTGTGATGGGCAAGCTCCTTTATGGTCATTACTTAAGAATTATTATGCTGTCCTGCTCACACATATAACTGGTTTAGTGGGTTTATTAATATTCCCCCCACCAACTCTCTTCAACAAAACTCAGAACTATCCCAATTAAGTCCAGCCACAAGTAGACCAATGTTAGCCCATGGAGCAATGGCCAACGAGTCCACGAGGTACTTGAAAATTTCCCAATCAAAATAAAATAAAAATTATTTTTGCCCACCAGGTAAAATTAAATCCACAATACAAGAGGGTTCATGAGGCAAGAAAAATCCAGAGTTCGTAAGGCCCAATCCAAGTCAAGTTACAGTGTCAATCCAAAGCAAGCCAAGAATCACAACAACCAGAAAACAACTAGGAAATGAATATGTTGTTCAAGCATTGCCTCCATCTGTCTGCTGTGCTAAATAGCCAGCTTCTGGTGTAGCCCATCAAGAAGGGCGAGGCTTCTTCCTCATGAGTAATCTGGCTGACCTTCTCTGCTCTTGCTTTTTCTCTGCCCTACATGTTCTTGGATCAGGTGCGGCAGGCAGTTCTTCTTCCTTATCACTGACTGACTCCAGCTGCATGCTTTCTCCACCTGAAGTCTCTGGGCTGTCCTGCTGCAGCTGTGTTTGAGCCAAATCCCTCTCAGACAGCTGCTTGGAGCCATTACAGTTCCCCTCCAGATGTGCCTGGAAGTGGTTCATCTTCCTCTGAGCTGACATCTGGAGAAATAACTAGGGAAGCATCTGGGGGAGTCATCACAACTATTCATAATGCACAGATATAGCTATTTGGAATCCAGCACTATATCTGCAGAACTAAAAGTATCACGGTAGATTGCTAGTGAGAATTTTTGCATATGTCCCCATATGGGGTGAAAGTTTTCTATAGAAAACAGGTCTATTAAAGAGAAGACAAATAAGAATTATCGCTTCTCCCTAAAATGCTGGTTTTCTATCTGCAGAGTTTTACACAGTGATGGACAAAGAGCATGTAGAATCCTATTTCCTGTGTTGAGTGTTGCCATTCACATTTGATTTTGGTGACTGAGTCTTCAAAATTCAAAAAGAAACTGAGATTCATTAACATTTTCTTGTTGGTATATCAAGCTGGGGGCTTCGGAGAAAAGTGTTAAAGATGGTTTTTTACCATTTGAGGCTAAGAATGAAACACTCATTTTGTTTTTGTATGTAATCTTTATAGCCCAATAGGGTCCCCAACACAGATAAGCAGCCCAAGTGTTTTTTTTCCCTTTTTCCAGCTGCAGTCTGCAAAAGTGAAAGTTTCCAGGAACAACAAAGCCAAGTTTCCTTGAAGCATAATAAATTGTAGTGCCATGATTCGCCACTAGATGTCGTTGACACCGTCTTCCAGCTTTCCAAACCCAAGCCTATTTTACAGACTTTCAACTATCTTTTTTTTAAAAAATTCTCAAAGGTACTTATAGTCCACAAATTTCAAAGCTATATATCTGTATTAATTCCAAATTGATCTTGTAGTTTTCTTTATTTTCCCCCAAAGCAATTAATTCGCTGCTTTTCTTTTCCTGAGGGATAATAACAATAATAATAGTAATAATAATAATAATAACAATAATAAAGTTGGAAGGACCTTGGAGGTCATCAAGTCCAACCCCCTGCTCAGGCAGGAAACCCTATACCATTTCGGACAAATGGCTGTCCAGTCTCTTCTTAAAAACGTACAGTGTTGGGGCATTCACTGCTCCTGGAGGCAGGTTATTCCACTGGTTAATTGTTCTAACTGTCAGGAAGTTTCTCCTTAGTTCTAGGTTGCTTCTCTCGATTAGTTTCCATCTGTTGCTTCTTGTCCTGCCTTCAGGCGCTTTGGAGAATAGCTTGACTCCCTCTTCTTTGTGGCAACCCCTGAGATATTGGAATACTGCTATCATGTCACCCCCTAGTCCTTCTTTTCATTAAACTAGACATACCCAATTCCATCAACCATTCCTTATGTTTTAGCCTCCAGTCCCCTAATAATCTTTGTTGCTCTTCTCTGTACTCTTTCTGGAGTCTCAATATCTTTTTTACATCAGAGTGACCTAAACTGGATTCATTATTCCAAGTGTGGCCTTACCAAAGCATTGTAGAGTATATTAACACTTCACATGATCTTGATTCTATCCCTCTGTTAATGCAGCCTAGCACTGTGTTGGCTTTTTTGGCAGTTGCAGCACACTGCTGGCTCATATTTAAGTGATTGTCCACTAAGACTCCAAGATCCCTCTCACAGTTATTATTATTGAGCAAGGAACCACCTATACTATACCTGTACGTTTGGTTTTTCTTGCCTAAATGTAGAACCTTGCTTTTTTCACCACTGATTTTCATTTTGTAAGATAGTGCCCAATGTTCAGGTCTGTCCAGATCCTCCTGTATCTTAAGCCTATCTTCTGGAGTTTTGGCTATTCCTGCCAGCTTGGTGTCGTCTGCAAATTTGATGAGTTCCCCATCTATCCCCTTGTCCAAATCGTTGATGAAGATGTTGAAGAGCACTGGGCCCAGAACAGAGCCCTGAGGCAGGATATTGATTGAACAAACGGATTTTAAGTGCAAATGCAATTGAGGTATGTTCTGGCTAGAAAAGATATTATGAACTGACACTTGATATTATGTATAATACCAGAAAAATGTGATGAAGATGTCTATATTTAATTGTATGTGTATTAAGAATAACAAGAATTGTATTTGCCCAGTGTGGAAAAATGCATACCACCGAAAGAAGAGAAGATCAAGGAAGCACTGGATGGTGTAGTATTGGAACTAGACTGAGAAAGTTAATATGTACCACTGAATCATCAATGGACCCAGATAACACGTTGTTTATTAAGTACTCATGATTGTAAAATTATAAAATTAATAAAATATTTATTAAAAAATTCAAAAAGAAACTGCAAGATCACTCTCACTAGATTCATCAGCAAATTTGATTCTATTTCCTTAAAAAGAACAAAGGTAGAATTTAAATCTTTATAAAAGTAAAAATAAATAAATAAATGTATGGATTTCTCTCCTATTCCAGGTGTTATTCTTTATAGCTTTCTTATGGTGACTGTTATTATAATTTTTTGATTCCTAATGTGTTCATCCTTACATAGAATTATCAAAGATTTTGGGCTCTTGCCTTCTCTGATCACTTGCTTTTACATTTTCCTTTACTTTTTCTGGAGATCCATTTAGGCAATATCTAAAAGTTCAACACACTGACAAAGGGGTTCCTGACAGTAGATTTTTGTTGCAAGACTTTGGGATTTGCTATGTTTGACTGACTTGGCTGCAGCCCATCTCAGCCCTGATAGTAACAGCTAGTTCTAACTCTGATGCTCTATCCAGAAAGAATCCATCTATGGTCCACTCGCTAGATAATATTTTGTCTTCAATTCCATGCTAAATGATTAACTTTGCTATCAGTGGTCTTTGGTACAGGCTGATCCAGGTTTACAAGCTGAGCTTGGGCATTGTGACATCACCTGGGGGGTTTGCCTAGAGGCCTTTAAAGGTTAGTCAAGGGCAGCTGGACATAGACTCCATGAAAGCAGGACATGACCAAGGAAGGGCAGGGCTCAGAGCAGCTTCCTGCACCAATATGTATCCCAGGTCCTGGGGAAAAGATCTTACAGGATTTTCAGATCCTGGTGCAGAAGGTGGGGGGGAGGCCTGAGGTTCTTCTTATTGGGGAGACCCTGGAAGGCAAGGACATTCATAAGATGATGACCTCTTTTGTTAAGGACTTGTTTTCTGCCCCTTGTCACCCAGTCCACCCTGCCGAAGCTTTGAAGGAGCCTTGTGTCACCTGCCCTTTTGGTGGCAAGCAATGCCAGCTTATCTTCTTTCTGTGCCGTGCCTCCTGCATGAAGGGCAAGGAGACTGAGTTGAGGAAAGTTTTGCAGCAGGTGAAGAAGTATGTCCAGAAATCCCCCTGTGCCTTAGTAGGAATCATTATGGAACCCAAGAAAGGGGAGGCTGAGGAAGCCCGGGTCCACCTGCTTCGACTGTTGCGCGGCATCTTCCCAAAGACCTCACCACAGAAACGGGGCAAACAGCCAGCTACCAAACAAGATCAGGACCAGGCAGGGTTGTTGGAATTGGAAGAAGTGGAGGTGGAAGCAGAGGTCTACATCCCAGGTTATCCCCGGGGTAACTTGGCCATCATGAAGGCAGCCTGTCGTGCTTCGGAAGCCCTGAGCAGAGGTGGGAGACTACACTAAGAATAGGCTACTTTTTTTCTCAGTGGGTGGGTATGTTTACTTTTGGTCTCCTAGTGCAGGGGTCTCCAATCCCTGGTCCGTAGACTGTCACTGGTCTGCGGAATGCCCAGAAATTGGGCAGCGCAAATAAGCTCCGTCCACGGGATGCAGGCAGCCTGCAAAACCACGCCTCTTCCGGTCCGTGGAAAAAACTCTCTCCGTGGAACTGGTCCTTGGTGCCCAAAAGATTGGGGGCTGCTGTCCTAGTGCTTCAAGAGATATGAGGACAGTAAGACCATCATATCCCTAGAAGAGTCAGAGGAACGTGTATTTTTGTCTCCTTGATTAAGGAGTATCAGCAACCTAACTCATATATATGCTACTTGTTACTCTTTTTAAAGTAGGCATAATTTTCAGTGGTTAGCCACAAAATATGGATGGTGGGGTCTGGGATGTTCCCAGGGACCACAGCCATCCCTGGCCATAGCATAGGCAGCAGGTAGGGTCTTAAACTATCATCTCAATTGTATGAGGTCTGGCAAGAATCGTTTGCAGTCTTATTTTAATTTGGAAATGCGCTTAACAGCTGTGGCAACTCTTTTGGACTAAAAGTAATGGGATATAAGACCTAATGCAATTTCTTTGATTTGTCTTAGCAAGATATGTGAATCCAGCATATGTAGCTTGTAAAATATGATTTATGACTCCATCTTACATGTGAACCAGACTGCTAAGTCTTGTCAAACAAACCCTAGGGTGATATGAACCATATTTGTGTATGTGTGCATGCACACTTAAAAAGTGAAGTTCCTGATCCTTATAGCTTTACAGATGAACTTGTAAACATCTTGGTGGTGTTTGTTAAAAATCTCCAAAATCAAAAAAGATTTGGAAGGAGTTTCAGCATCTGTACTCTATGATTAGCCAAGTCTATAGAAATAGATGCAATATCCCTTCATTTGCAAAAACAAAATTTTAAAAACAAAAATTGAAAAAGGTCCAAACAACATCTGATCTCTGAGGCTATTATCAACCTTTGTTGCAAACCAAATGAAACCAGCTACAATAGAAGACCTATTCAATGCAGCAAGCACAGCTTGTATGCATAACAGTGTTCCCGGGGTTACATTCTAGTCTACCTATGGCAAACCTATGACAAATGTATCAAAGGTGATATTTCATGTTTTGGGTGACATGTCAGCATTCACCAACACCCAACAACAACTCTTCTTGTTGGGAGGAGAAATGTTTCTCTTGTGGGTGTGGGTGTATTTTGTGTGTATGACACACCAACAGAGTCAAGTTAGATATCTTCTGAATTTTTAACATGCTGAGCCCAAAAAGGTTCACCATCAGTGCTCTAGTCTTTTTCTTCCTGCTTTTCCAATGTCCAATAATTGATAGGTGGCTAATATCATCAAAGCAGCTGAGATTTGTTAATGTAAGAGTCACCTTGTAAGACATAGGAAGAATAAACAAACAAACAAACAAACGCTCTCACTAATCTGGGAACCACTGTTTCCATCGAAGCCAGCTTCATTCCTAGCATGTCAATTTGTATCTTTTGGGTTCGGCCTACCCCACTTCCCAATTGGGACTTCCCTCTCCAATAACCATTTCTTTAAATGTTGTAAAGTTAGAACCACCTGCTCAATTCAGTTAACCAGAGAATTCCTGTGCAGGTTTTCCGGAGGAGGTCACTAAGGATCCCCTACCCGTTGCAGGTTCTTCCTGGACTGTCATCGTCATCAGAGGTATTTTGGGGACTTTGTGCATCATTGGCATGGCATCTGCTGCAGGATGGTACCTCTACCAGCAAGGCATGATACCACCTGACATGATCCCTGCAGGTCTGCTTGCTTTCATTTGAGGTGAGGGTGCATAGTTTTTGACATTATGGTCAAGAAAAACATGTTATAAGTGTAGCTTCAAAGGAAGGGATTTATTTGGATTGTCTTTGTTAACCCTTTGGATAGTCCAGGCAAGAAGCAGCATAACAATGAATACTAGTTCTATCTGTATTATAATGTTACATTAACAGAATCTTGCAAGTCAGATAATATTTCTTCCCTCCTTTACTTTTTCTCCCTGGAAAACTAGAGAAGGCTCCTTCTGAAACACTTCCCACATCCTTTCTGCCTCTGTGAGTTCAGATACCTTTTGCATAATAGTTATCTAGTCTGTGGTTCTTTCTTCTGTCTCCCAATGTCATTCCCACATACCCTTGCAGCCAACTACTGTACTCTTTTCATGCATTATATATAGTTGTTGAGAATATATTCATCACATATGTGAGTTTAGTAGGGGGTCTCTAGTGTGCAAACTATTAGCACAAATGGTTGCTTTTTATGTTTCTGAGACTTAAGACCATGTATATTAAATAAGGATGTAGAAAAGTGATGTTCCAGTTTTTGATGGGGGAAGAGGATCTCTGGGGAGAAAGGAACATAGTGAGATTTGTTCCCAAGAATGTTTTGTTTTGTTCATTGTTAATATTGAGTTAGGGAAAAAAGAAATTAAGAAAAGTCTATAAAGAGGTGAGAAGTTTCTGGCAAGGAAATGATCCTTGACAGAAACACTAGTTGCAAATCCAGTAACAGTTGCCATGAAACCTTTTGAAACTATGAATCTGGTCTTTCTGGGAGTATATTCCCATCTCCAGTTGAATTCACCATAAACCTGTGTAGTTTTCTCCTTTCTGGTATCGCCTCCATGTTTGTTTGGATTTGTTTGTTTGTACATGTCCAGCCTGTAACCCAGGTTAGACAACAATCAACAGAACTAATGCTTCCTTGGAATTAGATAGTAAGGAGCAGTAGAGCCAGGGCTTTTTTTCTCATAGAACGCCCAGAATGGAGTTCCGGTACCTTTTTTGGATGGAACCTTGTAGAGTAGGCAAGGCAGGTTGTATGACGTGTGAGTTCCGGCACCTTTTTTTTTTTTTTTTTTTAGAAAAAAAGCACTGAATAGAGCTGTGAATCATCAGCATCCTGATGTCCTCCTATCCCCAAGCTTCTAATGATTTCCTCCAGTGCTTTTATGTTAATATAACAATATTAACACAATGTTGGATACCACAGGTAACAAGGTAGAACTCTGAGGATCATTATAGGTTAATATCCGAGGTACCAAACAATAGTTTCCCTGCATTATCTCCTGGATATATCTTGAATGGAGGACTGAGGCCACTGCAAAATAATCTCCCCAAGGTCCTTTCCCACTACTTAGTCTAGGTGTTGGAAAAAATAATATTGGATTCTAAACAAAAATCATGCTTGCGTTTTTATTCATTGTTGAAATGGTGCAATATACCAGCATTTTAACATATTCCATAAATCCCAAAGATGCTTTTTCATGAGGCAACTGGACTTTCTTGTTTTTCTTTGAAGACATTTTGCTTCTCATCTAAGAAGCTTCTTCAGCTCTGACTGGATGGTGGGAGAATGGAAAGATTTATATTCCTTGCAGACAGCTAGTTATTTGCATTCTTTTAGATTCCATAAATCTAAAACTAGTATCTATTGTTCAATCCAGTCTATAAAAAAAAACAGTTGTCCTAGTTTTAAATAAGGCAGAAATATGTATATATCGTCAGTCTTTGCTGAAAGCAGTTAAACCAAAGAACGAGTATTTAAGAGCTCTTATTAATATTTATTAGAAACAAAGATTTAGATAGACTGCAACATAAGAATTCCAGCAAATAGTGTACCTGGCTTTCAGCTGAGATTCCTTTATATAGAGAGGATTTGGGCAAGGTGTGTGTGTATTTTTGAGTTGACTAATCCCTGCAGTTTTCTTGTCAAGGTTTCAGAAATAGTTTGCCATTGTCTCCATCCTGGGGCTAAGAGAGAGTAACTGCCCCAGGGTTACTTTTGTGCCTAAGACGGGAAAGGAACTCGCAGTCTCCCACTTTCTAACCAGGTTGCTTATCTACACCAAATTTAGACAATTTAGAACAGTAGAATTCTTATCTGTTTCTTTTCACACTTCCCATACAAAGGTCTGGAAGCTTGTCTCTTTTAAAACAAAGTCTACATCAGTTCACTGTTCTGATACCTCATTCCTCTCAGTGTGAGAAATAATTCTAACAAATGACTTTATTAGGGGGATTTTTTTTCCCAAATCTGCTATTGATCTATGAAAGGGTTTCAGGTGAACCATGGTTGGTTGGTTGGTTCCTGTTTGAAACTTTGGGATAATATGGACTTATTATAGTGCTGTAACATCACTGAGGTAATTATTGAAAAATGGAAACAAAAACATTTTTACAACATGCCAATTGCAAATATTTTCTTGAAATTTTAATGAACGACCAGCATTTTTGAACTGGGAAATCTTTTGCAATGTATGTATGATACACACTTTGAAGTCTGAATTAATTATGAAGTACATCAATGTGTTTTTGGCTAATGCTTTTATTATATTTGTGAAAACATAATGCTATTGTCTGTTTTTTTTTCTTCAGATCTTGAATTCATCTGGAGTTTAGCTGTCCTGCAAAATAAAACAACAGCACATCACACTGTGTGTGCAAATATCAGTTGTTTCATTACTCTTTACTGGGAAGGTTATCCTATCAGTCCCCAAAGACATCTAAAAACTGTTATTACATATATTAGGACAGTGGACACTTAGAAAATAATTTGGGTGAATTGATCGTGCTTTGAATTTTGCGCACAACCACACCACTACATAATAGTAGTAGTAGTAGTAGTAGTAGTAGTAGTAGTAGTAGTAGTAGTAGTAGTAGTAATAAAGTTAGAAGTGATCTTGGAGGTCATCTTGGAGGTCATTCCTGCTCAAGCAGGAAACCTTATACCAGTGATGGTGAACCTTTTAGAGACCGAGTGCCCAAACTACAACCCAAAACCCACTTATATATTGTCGGGTGCTGGGTGGGTGTGACCCATTGGGTGGGCGGGGCTTCAGTGGTAACAGCAGACAGGATGGGACTGAAAAGTTCAACCAATCAATTCTAACTTCGCAAGATCTTTTTTTTTCCCCGAGAAGATGGAATTGATTGAGTGATTGAACCTTTTTTTTTTTTGCACACGGCAGCAGAGGCCTAAAGTGAAAAGGGTTTATAAAACCCAGCTGAAGGCCTAGGACTGGGGCAACAGCACGCGTGCCCACAGAGAGGGCTCTGTGTGCCACCTGTGGCACACGTGCCATAGGTTCGCCACCACAGCCCTATACCATTTCGGACAAATGGCTGTCCAGTCTCTTCTTAAAAACTTCCATTGTTGGAGCATTCACAGCTTCTGGAGGCAGGTTGTTTCACTGATTAATTGTTCTGTCAGGAAGTTTCTCCTTAGTAAGAGGGTGCTTCTCTCCTTGATTAGTTTCCATCTGTTTCCATCCATTGCAACCTGATTTTTTAAAATTTCCTTCTGATTACCCATCTATTGCTGAGGGACCCTGGTCAATTTTAGATATTCTGATACTGAAGTGATGTTTGCCCTCTCATCCTGGCTCAAGATCTTTCACAGAGACAATCTGGAGTACGTGGTGGAGGAGGCTTGGAATAACCCTATTAGGGTCATTGATCTGCTGGGCACAGTTGGTTCAGCAGATTTGCTGTGAAACTGCCCCTTTTTGTCTGTTTGGTGGACTCTGTGATTATTATGCATTGTTATTTTGGGTGCAAAGAGCTAGATCTCCAGCCTCTGTAGTGCTTTATTTGCTACATTTTAAAGGAACCAACAGAATTAAGTAGCTATATCATTTTGAAACAAGAAATGCAACCACAGACACCAAAAGCTTTTCTTGAACATTGACTCTGCAATAACATTAACAAAAAGTGTTCTGCACACTTTTGCTGATGTGTGTAGATAAGTGTTTCTATTTGTAAGCAGCTAAGAATTAGATAGATTGTGATGGGATTAAAATGAAACAAATACTTAAATAAACTCTTATCTAAAGGCTGTAGCTGGACTGCACAAATCTACCTCAAGATATCAGTCAAAAAAGGCAGAAAACTCCAACTTTTTATTTTACCTCATTTTTTAAATTTTATGCTGCCCATTGCACAGATACAGTGATTTTGGGTGACTTACAGTTAAAAAGTTTAAAAGTGCTAGAAAAAAAACAGTTAAAATTAGAAAATTGAATAGCAAAATTAAAAGTTAAAAACCAAGATGATGGGGGGCCCTGAGGGGGTGCATGAAAATCTTCTCTGATCATTCAGCCACCCTCAACATAGTAGGCCCCTGCCTTTTGCTGCCATCTAGTGGTCGGCACATAGGTATTTCTAATCCTTTGGTTAAAAAAAAGTTAAAAATAATTGTTTTGATGAAGTGCCTAGAACTATAATACTGGCACTGCTTCAATACACATTTTCCTAGGGAAACAAGGTGGGTGGAACTGGATTTTCAATTTGGGGAATCACCAAGAGATAACTGTACAGGGTGGTATGACAGCTATATGGACAACAGCATACAAATATTTCTCCACTTACAATTAGAACTAGAATTTCAGTTGCTAAGTCATGCAGTTGTTAAATGAATCATCATGTGACAAGAAACAACTTTACAACCATTTTTACTGTGGTTGCTAAGCAAATTATGTTATTAAGCAAATCTGGCTTTCCCAAATGATTTTGCTTGTCTGAAGTTGTCTGAGGTTGCAAATTGTGATCACATGATTGAAACAGGTTGTAAGTCACTTTTTCCAAGTCAGGCAGCATACAAATTTGATGATGATGATAACGATGATGATGATGGTAATGAATTCCTAGTCTAAACTTATTTTCTCCATTTCTTTTATGCATATTTAAACTTTTATCACTGGCTTCTTTGGAAGAAATCAGCAAAAAATGGCTTTTAATATGAAATTTTGTTTTCATTTTTTCAGTGCATGGGTGTTTTTATTTTGATGAACTAAGTTAAGACTTTTTATGGTTCTTCTGTAAGCTACTCAGGGCTCTTCTAGTGAGAAAATGTGGCATATAAAATAAATATATCCATATCTAAATTGTTATTGTTACCTATGCAGATAGATGGGGATAAATGAGTGAATGAATGATATATTTAGTTGCCATATCTATAGTTTTCAAGCTGGGGTTAAGAGGTCACTGGTGGTGTCTGAGGTTACTGGAAATATGAATACATTTTAAAAAGGGCTGTCGCATATACCAGAGATAATAAAGTGTCTGAAGAATTTGACTCTCTTACTCAAAACTTTGTGAAATTTGACAACATGAAAACATATTTGCTAGTATGCGTATTTTTAAAATATATTTCAAATTTTCAGACTGTTCTCTCTCCATCAAGGAATTCATGTATGCAACGCTCTGGCAATTACGACTGATCACCAATTGTTAAAGTCATCCTGAAAATCCTGCAGAAATGACATAATATTGTGCATAATGGAAAAGTATTAGGAAATTGTGATGTGATTTGCATTGCCTTTTTCCCCAGATAAATTAGGTTGCTGTGGCATGTGTTTGTCATCTGATGTGATCCCAAAATATCAATGATTTTGGCACAGTCTCCAATTTATGGGGCAAAGTAGGTACAATGGGAATTTTGAAAGCATGTTGCAAATACACTAAGCGGCTCCCACTGTTTTTGACTGTAGCACGGCTTTTGACAACTATGGAATTAAACTACTCGCAAAATACTTGCAAAATATATTAAAAAGGCAAACAGAAGGCCACTTTTTGCCTCTCCTCTCCTATAGCCTCTGTGTCTTCCCAACCCAGTTTACTTTCATCTTGAGAAAGGATCTTTTGCATACACAGAACACTGGTTTGCAATCATCCTGTTTTATTTTCTAAAAAAAACCCTGAGTGCTACATGAGTTTTAGAAGCAGTCTTGTAAAATTGTTTTACAGTAGAGAAAACCTGCTGTCTTTTGCTAAAAAATTAAAGTATAAAACAATTTTTCTTACCTTGGCAACTTTTAAAATGTGTGGACTTCAACTCCCAGAATTCCCCAGTCAGCATAATTGGTTGGAGAATTCTGGGAGTTGAAGTCCACAAATCTTAAAGTTGCCAAGGTTGAGAAATACTGGTATAAAAGATAAAGCAGGATTGCTGGTGGGTGCCATAAATGTTGGCAAAAGGCACAAGAAGAAGAAGATTGTATTGTAATGCAGCTACACAGTTACTTTCTATTTTTACAATTAACATTAGGCTAAAAACCAGGGAGCAAAAATAACAGAACAGAGTTGGAAAGGGACCTTGGAGGCCTTCTAGACCAACCCCCTGCTCAAGCAGGAGACCCTATACCATTTCAGGCAAATGGTTGTCCAATCTCTTCTTATGGGTGGATGGAGTACCCACAACTTCTGAAAGGGAACCCTGAATGGTATCCTAAACAGAGTGCTGTGAAAACATTGCAAGTACTTGGAAGAGTCATTGAGCTATACAAATAAAACATGGAAGATCAGGAATGATCAAGGCCTCGTTTACCAAAGAGACATAGAGTGGATTAGCCACTTCTTGAAACATGGAGGGGAGAAAGCTACATATTCTAAATAATCCATCAATCTAAAGCGTGAAAATGGGACTTAAAATTAAGCGCCAATAGGTTCTGCCCCGCCTCCCTTCCCTAATGCCTAACACAACCTCACCATAGTGATGGTGGGGTGAACGGTATAAGCCTGCTATGTTGGCCAACACGACTCTGCCCTGGAAAAAGATGACCTACTCCAGTTCGTGCTGGAAATGATAGGCGGAAAAAGGAGAAGGAGCCGCCCTAGTACCCGTTGGCTGGACACTATATAGGATGACAGCGGGATGACCATGGTGGATCTGAAGGGAGTATGGAGAGTGCTGATCCATAGAGTGGCTAAAGGCGGGACACGTCTGAATAGCTGACCACGATGAGGTTCTGGGGTTGAAGCGCTCTGCACAGACTTTGCAAATACTGTCTGTTTTAATTAACGTTTGCTATCTGGGGCTTCAACCAATAAAAACAAGCCAAACTGAGTTTGCATCGAAGAATCCACCCCTTCCAGCGTGCGGAAAACAATATAGTAATCGGATCTATTCCCCATGATTCCTAGGGAATACTTCTAAGGATGCTGCTCCTTTAAGGCGAGGCTGTGTTTCAGGCATCCAGACAAAAGCCTTCGAAGAGAGCTTTCCCCCTCCCTCTCCCTCTCGCCAATTCCCCGGACGAAGCGATAAGCTCCTATTGGCCAAGGAAGGCGGGACATAATAACGGCGACCAAAGATGGCGGCGGGACTGATGCTTAAAGCCGCGCTCCTTTCTTGCGCTTACATAACGCGACCTTTCTATTTCTTGCCCGCACGCGGCGCAACCTACCTTAAAAAAAAAAAACCACCTCTGATTTGATTGTCGCCCTTGCTAGCCAATGAAATTGTGCGATGTTCAGCATTGAACCAATCACCGCGCGCGGGAAGACACGGGGACCGTAAAAGTGGGCAGTGTTAAAAATATACATATATCGGAGGGGGGTGATTTGCGCGCGCACAGAGAGCGTGAAGAAGGGAGGGGGGTGAGCGAAAGAGGCTGAGGGGCTTGCCGGCTTCGCCCTCCCGCGCTCCTGCGAGGAAGCAAGGAGGGGATTCTCCCGCCATTTTTCCAGCGCTGCTCCTGGACCGACTTCTCCCTTGTCTCAGTGATGGCGCCGCTACTGGGCCGCAAGCCTTTTCCGCTGGCCAAGCCGCTGCCGCCGGGGGAGCCGCCGGGAGAGCGCTTCGTCATTGCCCACACGCAGGAGGCCTTCCGCTCCAGCGAGTATCCGATTTGGACGGTGGCGAGAACTATGCGCGGAGGGTGGGGGGGAGGGGACTTTTGTTTTTCAGTCACAGTGCAGTGGGGGATGGGCGAGAGGCAGCGAAGGAGTTGTTGCTCTCTTTTCTTCTCTGTCTTGGCGACTTAACTCGAATCAGAAACGTAGGGCAGTTGAAGGCCTTCGTTTGCTTTCTTGACTCCCGGTCCCTTTGTTCCCTTTTTCTCTTTATTTTCCCCTCCCCCTTCTTGGCATCTTTTTCTTCTCGGACGCAAGATGGAGCAAGGCAGGACAGGACGACTTCGCTCCCTGTGTTGAGAGTGCAGCGGGGCCGGCAGAGTTGTTATCTGTGAATGTCAATAACTGTCGAATTGGGAAGAAAGAGGGAAGACCTTTTTTTGTCTGAAAAGGTTCTAAGTTATTCTCATTAGCTGCCTAAGTTTGGACTGGATGCTGCTGCTGTTCAGGAGCAGTTAACTTTGAAGGCAAGCTTGAGAGGGTGGATACCAGAGGAAGATTTTCACTTTCGCGTAGAGCTTGTAGTCTCGGGAGGCATTGGGCTGGCCCCTGCAGGAAACAATTAGGTAGGCGTGTTGGTCTTCAGTCGGGCAAAAACTGTTTTGTTAGATGCCTCTTAATGGTTGCTAAAAGTAGAATGTTACTCTAGACAAGATCTGTCTCTGAATCATTCGAGTAAAGGCTCAAGTCAGCAGCTAAGGTTCATCACCACAGTGCTTCTATTGACAACTTTCTAGTATGTTAACATTAAATTGACCATATAGGACAGAAACTTTTACTATGTTTATTGCTAATATGTCTTACTTGTGGGCTTACCAGAAAATTATCTTTCCGTAATTAAAACCTAGAATTTTCAAGTAGTAAGCTTGATTGAAAGACATTTCAAGAATGATTATAGTTCTTGTTAATATTTTGTGATGAGTTACGTGGGTAAATTAACTTACCATCACAGCAGGCATTGATGTCCCTGTCTTTCATGGCTCTACACAGCAACTTAACCCGGATGATAAAATAGTCTTCTTGCACCGAATTTCCAAAGGTTTGCATTTCTACTATATTTTAGAATTTCTGGATGATAAGGGAAGGTTAGTGCTGCTTTCATATTCCGTGTTCATTGTAGCATGTGATTAAAGGTTAAATAGAAGTTTGTTTAGAACTAAATGAAGTGATACTGTAGTATGTTTTCTAAGCAATTTTGTTCTATATGGTCACTTCAGCTGTTAGTATAACTTTGCTGTATTTTGTGATGCCCAAGGAAGACCTGTGTTGTTGATGTTCCATTGTATTTTTCAACCCTGTATTCAAGTACCTGGCTGAGGGAGAATGAAGACGTAAAGAGCTGGGCGTTGCATAGTCCAGTTTATAAAGTTTGCAAACAGTTTGTTTACAGTGTTTGCAGAAACTTGACTTGTACTTATTTGAATAAGTACCTTTCTGACAATTTTTTGCAATGACTGTGCATGCTTTTAAAATAGGTTTACCCTGAATACTCAAGGCTTTTAATGGTTAGACAGTTTGCATCAAACCACATCATTTGGCAACTTTTCTGGAGAAAAAATTGATTAGCAAGGAAGCATTTTAATATGCGATTGGGGATGATAGTACTTTTGGTATTTACCTCATTTTGTACATGGTAGACTGGTGAAGATATTCATAATCTGTAAGTAAGTGACATAGTTAAAGAGGGGGCTGCCCTTGAAATATCTCTTTTATTAGGTCTAGTGCAGAGGTCTCCAATCTTTCTTGGTTGGAAGACCAGAGGGAAAGAGAGGGGGCAGCATTTTGCACACATGCACAAATGGGGCTGTGAGCATGCACTACACAAACAGGGCAGTGCTAGCGCCTGTATGACACTTGCTGGGCTGCCCTGTTTTCACTGCTCGGAGTCCCATTTTCATAGTGACAGCGCTAGTACAAGTGGGGGGTGAGTGTGCGCCTTTGCCAGCCTGTCCTGCGGGCTGGTGGCCAGGAGGCCACAGCCCGGTAGTGGGCTGTAGCCCACAGGTTGGGGACCCCTGGTCTAGTGGATACTAGTTTCTTTCCTTATAAAATTTATCTCAGACTGCTTTATTTTAGGGACTGAGACTGCTGGTATTTCTGTGCAAATTAATTTATATTTTATTGTTTAAAAAATCCAAAGAGCTAATTTTTGTGTAGGCCTAAGCAATTACATTTAGTGTCCTCAAAGGATAATGCTTTGTTTTTCCCTTCAGCGTTTCCTCTTTGTCTTGTACCCAAGAGAGCCTCTTCCTCTTAACAAAACCTTTTCTCCCTCTACCCCATCTGTCAGAACAGCCTTGACTCATTTCTGATCACCAGGTGTTTTTTAAAGCGAATCTACTTATAATATTGTGATAAATATGTTACCCTTAGAGATTCAGTCGTATAGAAAATGGACTTGCATAATTTATCTGATTTTTTGATTGCAATCTAGTTAATAGATATTGTATGGTATTGGATACAGCACAGATGCTACTCTGAAATATGTTTAAATTCCACCTGCCTGAAAAAGGCAGAAAGTAAGCTTGGGAACAAGAGAAACCTTTTGCTTAAATTTGAGTTCACAATTTACCATAATCCACTTTTGGGTAATTAGTTCTGTTATATCCTCAATGTCCTCAATTGTAACTGTCCATAATTTAGTTAGGTGTCAGGATTTACTCCTCAGGACTACAAAGGCAAAAGATGACAGTATTTGGTCATTTAGAAATGTTATTGGAATCGTTAACTGTCAGCAGTCTTTGTCATTAAATGCTTACTGTGATGGAAAAGTGGAATAGAATAGAATAGAATAGAATAGAATAGAATAGAATAGAATAGAATAACAGAGTTAGAAGGTACATTGGAGGTCTTCTAGTCCAACCCCCTGCTCAAGCAGAAAACCCTATATCATTTCAGACAAATAGTTGTCCAATCTCTTCTTAAAAACTTCCAGTGTTGGAGCATTCACAACTTCTGGAGGCAAGTCGTTCCACTGGTTAATTGTTCTGAGGAAATTTCTTCTTAGTTCTAGGTTGATAAAACTCAGTTATACAACTGCTTCAGGCCAACCAAGCAGTGCTAATATCTTTCCTTAGCATCTGGAGGCTGTTGCACTATCCCATGTAGAATCAATGTACAATTGGGGTCCTTGACTTGAAGTTCTTGTTTGAAGAGCGGGTGGCAGTCATAGGCAGGAGGGCTTTTGCACATTTGTAGCTTATGCAAAAGTTGCATCCTTTTTTAGATTGGAAGACACTGTTCATGATCAGTCATGTCTTGATCACCTCCCAAGTGGATTATTGCAACAGACTCTATGTGGAGCTGCCTTTGAATGGTATTCAGGAGCATCAGGTGGTCTAGAATGCAGAGATACTGTATTAGCAGCTATGGGCGCACCTCGGTTCACCTGTGCTACTTTGCTTCCAGTACTGATTGTTATCTATAAAACTATTTACTGCACAGGGCTGGGTTATTTGTAAGACTGTCAGGAAAATTTAAAAATCTAGTAATGAAAAGTTGATTGAAGATTGATATTTTGCAGATAGTTGGAGAGTTAACAACTATCTTGCTTAGTGATGGAAATTTTGGGGTTATTTTGGTCATAAGTTGAGGACTACCTATATTAGCTGTCCAGAGCTGCCTGAGGCCTAAGAGATGTGGATTGGGCATGCTTTATCCCAAAATAGTTCTTATTAAATACATTTTTCAGAACTACTGAATTCTGTGACTGTTTATATGTATAGTTACACATAAGCATTGCTGCAACATGACAATAAAAACATAGCTTCATAGTATTCCTTTTTTCAGTTTCTGTTACGTATTAAGATTTTTCATTTCCAAATTTAAGGTAATTATAGTTTTTTGTGATGCCCAAATTGGAATTACTGTGGCTACTACTGTTTAATTTCAAAGTACAGTTGGAAATATCTATTAAAATATGGTTTCAATTTTGTTTGATGGCCAACAACGATTTAAATACCTTTATGATTAAATGACCAAATAATTAAAAGCTAGGAAGAAAATAAGTAATTAAAAGACAGAACATTCTATGGTGTGAACTGAATGGGAAACAACCTGCTAGCTGTGACTACATTTTCCCCCTTTTTTTCCTGCATATCAGTGGTCCTGGCAACTGCTTGGATTAGTCCCTATAGTTTTCTTGGCAAGATTTGGGAAGTGGTTTGCTATTGCCTGCGTCCTGAGGCTGAAAGAGAGTGATTGGCCCAAGATCACGCAGTTGGCTTTGTGCTTAAGGTGGGACTAGAACGCAGTCTCCCAGTTTTTAGCCTCATGATTTAACCAATATACTCTCAATTATATATTATTTAGCGTTCCCAAATCATATTGCCAGTGATGGTGGGTGATTACGATAAGTGTACTTTACCTAGGCAACTTTAAAATTCTGTGTAATGCAGGGAGGAGATGAGGCAAAAATTGCTTTCCTCTGTAATACTGGACATAGTGTAGCTGTTTGCAACTAATATGGTCCCGTTTTCTAAAAAGTTGATTGCTTCTAATTTAAAAGATTGTTTGACTATGGTGTCTGATTTGGGACAGTGTTTTATTGGAATACAAAATGTATTTTAAAATGTATTAGAAAATAATGTAAATACATATTAAAATACACAATTCATGCTACTGAGGATGTGTTTTCTCATAATGATGAAATCCTGCCTTCATAAACATGAATATGAATAAGATGAACAGCAGTACTATATGTGCAGCCCTTTTTATATTATGAAGCAAAAAAATAGTACTAAGGAGAGAACTATGTATGATGCCAAATCCAAGGATTATAGTTAAAATATTCAGATGTTAAAATATTAATCATTATCAAACTTTGATTTAGTAACTTTATCATACCGTATATGCCGGCGTACAAGGCGACCCGGCGTATAAGACGACCCACGTCTTTTATCGCCGGGCCGCATTCCTAGAACGTCGTCTTATACGCCGGAAACTACCAGTATTTCAGGCGTATAAGACGACTCGGTGTATAAGACGACCCCCGTCTTTGGCGCCGATTTCAGCGCTCGCGGAAGTTGCCTTATACGCTGGCATTTACGGTAATATGTTCATGGGTCTAGGTGTAAATGACACAAAAAAATGCTGATTTAATCCAATAGTTTAAAAACTAAGTGCACCTTATTTTCCTGAGCTGTTGCTCCTTCAGAGAGTATGAAGCACGGCTAGAGAAATATAACCAACGAATATGGACCTGCAAAAGTACCGGGAGTAGTCAACTGACACATAAAGAAGCCTGGGAAGAAGAACAGGAAGTTGCTGAGCTGTAAGTAGCCATATCAAATGGTTTTGCTTTTAGAGACAGATATGGGGGGGGGGGAGGATGTTTGACAAATAGTGAGCTTCCTGTGAAAAATACTTGGAATGAGTCATGTCTCAAGAAAAAAGAAAACTTTTCTTCAGCAAGAATATCTAAACTCTAAAGAAAATATTTCTGATTGGGTATTGCCTGACTCTCTGTGACATTTTTTTTTCTCATTACACAGTGTATGTTGCAGTTCTCACTGGCCTTTCTCAAAAAAATCTGGTCTAATTAAATAGCACAATTGACAACAAATATAGATGTCCTGCATCAAAATACAGAATGTAATCTATTATATGTATATAAGTCCAAAAACTTTCTGACAGTGAATCATGCATTCCTGTTAACCCGTGCATTTTTAGTACGCTACAGTTGTATATTTATTTAAGGCATTTTTCCATTAGGAATCAGGGTTTCAGGCAAAAATTATTAGTGTTTTGATAACATGTTGAATACAAGTCATATTGCTGGTTTGTAGTAGGAATGTTGCCCCCCTCAATAATTATGTAAAAAAAAAATCAAACACGGGATGGCCTTATTATCTGTATTCACATATTTGCAGTTGTAAAGATGGATCAGAAATTCAATACAGAAGTAATTCAAAGTGGTGACCATATCTTATACCACCTCTTCCTGTTTACCCTAAAACAGCAAACCTGTGAGGTGATTGCACTGAGAGAAAGTGACTGACCTAAAGTCATCCTGTTGACTTGCATATCTAACTAGAATTTATGATGTTCTGGTTTCTAATCTAGATCAAACTGGCTCTCACTGATAGTAAACAGATTTTGTTTCAGCATTCTGATCTGTCTATCATTTTGCCAATGTGCAGAAATATGTATCCAACCTCCATCCTCCCAATTTTCCAACAGTGCAATATTCTATCCTTATATAGTCAGTGCTGAGGGTCATACTTGCTTAATTAAGTTCAATAATACACAATTTCCTAAGAACTATTAACTCAAATTAGAAATATGCCTAAATACTAACTAACCGCTTTTAAGTAAAGGGGGGATTAAGATAAGGTTATTGATAGAATTATATTGGTAGGCAAGTCGTAGTAGCAGTTTCTGTTGTCTCTTGAATGTTGCAATTTCTCTAGTTGAAGTTGATTCTTTAAGTTGCTATTTTATCATAATTATGCTACATCCATTTTCTTTTTATCTTTGCAGTTTAAAAGAGGAATTTCCAGTCTGGTATGAAAAGCTTGTTCTGGAAATGGTTCACCATAATACGATCTCTTTAGAAAAACTGGTGGACACTTCCTGGCTTGAGATTATGACAAAATTTGCTGTTGATGAAGAGTGTGATTTTGAGGTAAGGATCAGGTATAAATTCATCTCTCAGAAACTGTTGTGGAGATAACGATACCACATTCCTAACATAGCTGATTTCCAGAAATGGTTGAAATTATTAGACATGATGGTCTTGATTTTTTTTTTTAAAGGAGGGTGTGGTGAGTTCCTGATGGGATAAGTATTAATGAACCTTGCCTTAGAACTGTAAGCATCCTTTTGTGGCCTATAGAGTCTCTTAGAATCCTGAGACCAACATTTTAGCACATTTTACAAGCGATGCATTTAAGGGTTAAAATGGATGTCTTAAGCTTGCAGAGGTTTAATCCCCTAAAATTGCCACTTTCTTCCAATTATTACTACTTTTTCTCATTTTTCAGGGAGGGTTATGTTTAGGTATTGGTTTTATCGCTCTTTCCAGCTTCATAATCATCATGGGATTATTTTATGACACACTTTCAGATCTCTTGATGAAAAAGAGATGTTTCACTTCATTAAACTGTCATTACAGGCAGGCTCCATTGGTGACAACCGATATTGAAGACCCATCAAATTGACATCTGATTTTCATTGGACTAAACTTATACTAGGAATTCATATTTTTTTTCAATAAAGATGGTTAATACGGACTCAGTGTGTGGGGACATACCTAGCACACTCTTTTGTGTATTGCTTACCAGGATTTCTTTGAAATCTATGTATATAACCTAGATGAAACTGAACACATTGAAAGTCAAAATACTGAAGGATTAGGAATAGTTCAAAGGGTTTTTCTTATAACTGTACATAATCAGTCACATCACCTAAGGCACGGGTGTCAAACTCGTCACGTCATGCAACGTGTTGCAACTCTTTTTGCATTGCCGGCAATGGAGTGGGCGCAGCTTCAGTATGATGAAAACGGTCCGCAGGCCGGCAGTTTGACACCCCTGATCTAAGGTCTCTAAGCCTGAAAGTGCAGCTATGTGTTAAGAAGGCTGCCACATGCAAAGCTTGGTGTTGCTACCTTCAAACATGACATTCCCACTTCTCAGTAATCATTTCATTAATTATTACTGAATGTGGGAAATAATTCTCTACCTAGTTCTAATTTGCTCCTTTCTTTTTCAGGTTGGAAAAGAGAAAGTACTACGTGTCAAGGTGGTAAAAATACATCCATTGGAGAAAGTAGCAGAAGAGGAGACAACTGAGAAGAAAACAGATGGTGCCTGTGATTCCCCTTCCAGTGACAAAGAGAATACCAGCCAGGTTGTACAGGAAAATCAGAAGGAGCCAGCATTGAAAGAAGATGACAACAGAAGAGAGAGTCTGAGTAAGTAAGCCATGGACTGAAATGAAAGGAACCAGCTTTAAGTCTTATTTAGGAGTAAACTGCCAAATTGCATGCATGGCCAATTGATGACTACTAAAAGCAATCTTGATTTGGAGAGAATTACTGTTGTCACAATAGATATGTTCTCTGCCTTGGGTTACTTATAAAATAATGGTAGGACAGAAATCTGATAAATAAATAAATAACTTTAAAGTGTGCTGATCAAGCAGCATTACATACTTGTTACTTACTACTTGGTATTAAGCATGTACTTTTTATGGTCAACTGTGTTTATGATAAGCCATAAATTTATCTGTTTAGAGTTATGCACAAAACAGAAAAAGTGCTTGGTTTGAATTCTGAAGATAAAAGACAATGTTTTATCCAGCACTCTATCTGAACTCAAAATTTGGGTTATCCTGTAGAAAAGATTTTTAAACGTATAGTGTCTCCAAGCTAAGTGTCAATATCGCTTAAGGGCATACACAGAATATACTTTCACACCAGAGTTTAACGATCTAACACAGAGTTCCCCCAATTTTCTGACTTTGTGAACTGGTGGGGGGAAGGGGATAGTTCTGGGCAAATGGCTGACAAGCGCGCGCAGCTCCATTTGGGGAGCTGCGTGCTTGCTCACCATTTCAATGGCCCTGTTGCAAATCACTCACGGTTCACTAGTGGGCCATGACCCAGAGGTTGGGGACCCCTGATCTAATGTATTAATAATGTTTGTATTTACAGCAGCATTAATGAAAGTTTTTTCTAAAACACAGTGGTACAGGCATATATATAAAACTGTTATACAGAACTAATATTTTTGCTTTCTTTCTTCATTGGGCAGGTGACCGGGCACGGCGATCTCCTCGGAAGCTTCCTACTTCTCTGAAAAAAGAAGAAAGGAAATGGGTTCCTCCAAAATTCTTACCACACAAATACGATGTCAAGTTGCAGAATGAAGATAAGGTGAGTAAATTTGCCTGTTAGCCAATACTGTCTTAACGTTTTAAGAAGGAGTTAACTATTATAAACAACTATATTTAAGTATAGTTTTGTGTTTGTGTGTACATACACATATATACGTATAGTTAGTATATCTATATGCTTATAAACTTTCTATTGTTACAATATATGTATCATTTAAGATAAGTGTTAAACTTTCAGCGACTTACCTGTGTCCTCTCTAAACTACCACTTATTTATTGTTTCTGTACCATCAGTTAAAAAACCCTGTCTGAAACATTTGTTTTTTATCTTTCAAGATCATTAACAATGTGCCAGCAGACAGCCTGATTCGAACAGAACGGCCACCAAACAAAGAGATTCTGCGTTATTTTATTCGTCATAATGCACTTCGTGCTGGAACAGGCGAGAATGCTCCCTGGGTAGTTGAAGATGAGTTGGTGAAGAAATATTCCCTTCCCAGCAAGTTCAGTGATTTCTTGCTTGACCCACACAAAGTGAGAAATAAGACAAGATCTGTCTGAGTTGTGTGATGATGAAAAATAGGAGTCATTTTCACATGGGTACTTACTTATTCTTAGGCCTGTATTGAAAATAAGGCAATATCAAAGTGAAATTTGGCTCCTCCTGCCTTTTTTCAGAGGAGCATGCCCTTGTTTGTCATTAGGCGCTGAAATAACGATTTTGAAATATATATTCATTGTCTTATCCTGGGATGCTTAATCTTGTTGATGAACACATTTGGAATTTAAAGAATATATTATGCCAGAATTGGTTAGGATGCGGGGTTAGGCACTTGTCCATTGTCTAATGACTCTTATATAGATACAGGTAGTCCTCGACTTAACAGTCACAATTTGGGCTGCAAGTTGCATTGCTAAGCAATGCAGTCATTAAATGAATTTATGAACTTTTTGCTGAGATCGTTAAATGAATCTGGCATCCCCCATTGACTTGTTTGTTGAAAGCCCCCTGGGAAAGTTGCAAACAGTGATCACATGACTTTGGAATGCTGCAACTGTTGTAAATACATGTTGGTTGCCCAACACCTGAATTTTGATCGTATGGTATTGTAACTTTGAACAGTCATTAATTGAATGGTCGTGAGTCAAGGACTACCTATATATCCAATAGTTAAAACAAGAAAGACAAAGTTAACTTGTTGAAGAAAGCTTAAATTCAACATAGAGATGGAAATCAAAGTTTCAGCTATTTTGTTGAGCTTATATTTTGAAAATTCACATCTCTCTGACATTGATTTTAATCTTCCAACCATTACTAAATATCCTAGTTTCCTGAACCACAAACCAAAGCAGGAAAAGGGAAAAAATTAAAGGAAAAGCAAGGACATTCGCATTTCTTGCAATCCATCACCTTTAGCTCACAGATATTCCTTCCATCCTTGACTTTGTGCTGGGTTTTAGGATATGTTTCAGAATAAAGTATGTAGTAGATAACAGTTTCCCATTTTTCTTTTTAAGAATATGAAGTCTTGAAGTATTCTGGGAATTAAAAATATTGCTGGTACCTGATATATTTTGCAATATGTATATTTCCCACATTATTTTAAAGTAAAAGTTTTAAGACAGGAAGGTAGGGAACTTGGGTACATTATGTCTTAATGACCTCCATGTTTGAGGCTTTTGTGTGGCCATATTCTTGCAGGACACAAATCAAGCTCATAATTCAGAAATCTTAATTTTCCTCTTTCTATAGAGATGCCTTCTAAATGATCTGATTCAACAGCAAACCCTGTCTGAATTTTGCAGCAACCCACAAGCCTTGAGTTACTGCCTGGATGTTTTGCTGTAGAATGGACCATTCTCCTTAGTATTTAAAATAAGTGGGATGCCCAACTCCTTTGGAAAGATCTAATGATCCTTCCATTCACTCTTGTCACCTTTGGGGCTTTTTTTCCCCAATTGACATCAAACACTCTATAGCTAATAAACATGCTTAGTTTTGTTTGGTTTTGGGGAAGCTGGGTTTGATATCTGGCCGCCTCAATATTTTATCAAAAATGGCAGTATTGTTGGGTTGCCTCAGATTGTAGAAATTTCTGAAAATGTCATTTAACAATTCATATTTAAATTTTGTAAGAATAGATACTAGGATGTACAAACATTTAAAGGACTTTTGATAAAACATTTCAAAGGGCCTTCCATCTGAAACAGTTGGAGCACTACTAGACTTTCTTTGCTATTGAATGTTTATAGAGAAGGTATATGGTATAGTCAGTTAAGAGCTCTCTGTTTATTTTGTATTTTGGCTTATGCATATTTGGGGTAGATCCTCCCTAGTGCAGATAATTTACATTTTGCATTGCTTTGATTCCAGTATTTGACTCTCAATCCTTCAACAAAGAGGAAGAGCACTTCATCACCTGATAGGAAACCTAAGAAGCCCAAATCAGATGGTTCTTCCACAGGACATGGGCTGAATCCTTCACTTTGGTGCAGTGTGCATTTAAATAAATCAATTGTGGACTGCCCACTGAAAATCAAGAACTCCAAACCCCCCAAATTGTCTACAGAAGAGCTGGAGGAGATGATGAATATTATGGCACCTGGAAAACTTGGCACTTTCAACAAGAAGAGGCTTGGGAAATCACTGGATCCGAAACAGAAAAATAAAAAAGTGCTGAATGGGCAGAAATCTGGAAAATCTAGATCTCCCAAAAAAGATTCCAAGATGAAAATGAAACAGATGACACTTCTAGACATGACGAAAGGTACTTCTAAAGTACCAAGAGCACCAAGAAACTCAACTGGAAGCCCCAAATCTTCCAATAAACCTCCGAAACATCTTCCACCTGCTGCACTTCACCTGATTGCTTATTATAGAGAGAACAAAGACCGCGAGGACAAGAAGAGTGCCCTGTCCTGCATAATTTCAAAAACTGCTCGGTTGCTATCCAGTGAGGATCGTGCTCGTCTTCCTGAGGAGCTGCGAGGCATAGTGCAAAAGCGTTACGAACTACTAGAGCACCGGAAAAACTGGGCTTCCATGACAGAGGATCAACGCAAAGAATACATGAAGAAGAAACGTGAGAAGCTGAAGGAGAAGCTGAAGGAGAAAGCCAAAGAACGTCGGGAAAAGGAAATGATGGAGAGGCTAGAGAAGCAGAAGCGATATGAGGACCAGGATATCAAAGACAACAACTTGCCCACATTTAAGCTGGTGGATACTCCAGAAGGACTCCCTAATACCCTTTTTGGGGATGTGGCTATGGTTGTGGAATTTCTGAGTTGTTACTCAGGGCTGCTGCTTCCAGATGCTCAGTATCCCATCACTGCTGTTTCTCTTATGGAAGCTCTTTGTGCTGAAAAAGGGGGTTTTCTGTACTTGAACAGAATTTTGGTCATTCTTCTCCAGACTTTGCTGCAAGATGAAATTGCAGAAGACTATTTGGAGCTAGGGATGAAACTGTCTGAGATTCCCCTCACTTTGCACTCTGCTTCTGAATTAGTTCGTCTTTGTCTGCGCAAGTCAGATATACAGGAGGAAAGTGAAGCTTCCGAGAACGCAGAAGAGAACAAAGACTTGGCAGCTTTTGAAGACAATGAAGTACAGGATGAATTCCTGGAGAAATTGGAGGTATCAGAATTCTTTGAGCTGACCCCCGAGGAGAAATTGCAAATCCTCACAGCTCTTTGCCATCGGATTTTGATGACATATTCAGTACAGGATCACGTGGAAGCAAAGCAGCAGATGTCAGCTGAATTGTGGAAGGAGCGGCTGGCAATGCTGAAAGAGGAGAATGATAAGAAGAGGGCAGAAAAGCAAAAACGGAAAGAGATGGTGGCCAAAAACAGAGAGAATGGCAAAGAGGAAAATGGTTTGGGGAAGGGAGAAAAAAAGAAAGGGGAACCAGAGAAAACAGTCAAATCAGAGCAACGTATGGATATAGAACAAGAAGACATGATCAGCACAGTCAAAAGCAGGAGGCTTATGGCAATTCAAGCCAAGAAAGAGAAAGAACAGCAGGAAATGGAAATGCGAGGTAATTAAAAGAGCAGCTTTTTTATTGTGATGAGAGAGTTTAAAGTTTGCATTGGGCTACTGGCATTTATAACTGCCAGTTGTAGGACTCAAATCTCCAACTTGCTGTAGAGAAAGGATGCTTGCTAACAGGTAAATATATCTGCTGTTTTTGCCTTTATCCATACCTGTGCTAAATTTGATAGAGGAACAGGAACATCTAAACTATTTATTCAGATATTTATCTTGGTCCAGCTATCTGGGCCAGGAATAACATAGAGTTAACAATTAGTTTGGTTATCAATGTTATGCGGGCTATCAATCCATTTCAATTCAGAAGAGTAGTCTCTCTGAAAATATTGAAAGAATGGAGTGTTGCGTAGTCTGATGCTATCTTTTGCCAATTTCTTTAGCAGTTGCTAAACTCAAATCCTGAGCAGATTGCAACTGCTAGCTAGACGGGAGACTACCTGGAAATCCCTAGCTAGAGTAGCCTATGAAAAGTCAAGGTACTGGCAGGTCTGCATTTTTGCCAGGAGCTTCTATTTAATCACTGGGAATCAATAGCAATTTGAGGGAGCCTTTGGGGTTTTTTTCTTCAGTATAAACACAAGGGCAATTCGGAAATAAACCTCTGTGGTTATCAATGACAGACACTCGCAGATACAGAAGTTTTATTATACGCATTAGAAAACAACATTACATTACTTTTCGACATGATCGCCATTCAAATTGAGGCACTTGTTATAACGTCTTACAAGGTTTGAAATTCCTTAGTAGTAGTTGCTCAGCGCCAAATCTGGGCTATGGCGGGGGGGATGAACAAAAACGGAATCCCAACGGAACTGCTTCAGAAGTCTTGGGGACGTCTAGCAGTGTGCGGGCGAGCATTATCGTGAACCAACATCACACCAGAAGTCAGCATGCCTCCACGCTTGTTATGGATGGCTCGTCTTTGAGTTTTCGTAATGATTCACAGTAGACTTCTGAACTGATGGTCGAACCACGCTCCATGAACTTCACTAGCAGTACTCCTTTGGCATCTTCACATTTGGCAGGATTTCCTATGGCACCACTTCCTGTGTGGTGTTGGTTCACAATAATGCTCGCCCACACACTGCTAGATGCACCAAGAACTTTTGAAGCAGTTCCGTTGGGATTCCGTTTTTGTTCATCCCCCCTTATAGTCCAGATTTGACACTGAGTACTACTAAGGAATTTCAAACCTTGTAAGATGTTATGACAAGTGCCTCAATTTGAATGGCGATCATGTTGAAAAGTAATGTAATATTGTAGTTTTCTAATGTGTATAATAAAAGTTCTATATCTGCGAGTGTCTGTCATTGATAACCAAATGGAGGTTTATTTTTGAATTGCCCTTGTATTACAGCTACTCATCTGGAGAAAATTTGCACTTGCAGTTGCATAGGTTGGTATCTTAGTGGATATCTGGCAAATAAATGTGTAAATGAATTCCTAGGGAAAAATAGTATGTTTTTAATATCAGAATATGAGAAATTTTATATTTGCTCTGCTTACAGATAGTCCTTAGCTTAAACAGTGGCAGTTGGAACCAGAATTGGTCATAAAGCATGATGTCACATGACTGCACCGAATTATGGCAACAGTTCTGGCAGTCCCCAGTTACGATGGTTAAGTGAGGACCTCACTTGACCCCAACCTCTGACTTCCTTCTGGCCGCCCATTGATTTTGCTTATGGGAAGCCAGTAGGGAATGTCAGAAATGATAATCATGTGACGGCAGGGACACTGCAATAGTTGGAACTAAGTACCCAGTTAAAAAAAGAATTAAACCAGTTTAATGCTGTGGGGAATTAATACATTCTTTTCTGCTGCTGTGCTAGTAAAACTTGAAAAAGAAGCAGAGGAGGAAAGAAGTCGCAAACATAAAGCTGCAGCAGAAAAAGCCTTTCAAGATGGTATTGCCAAAGCAAAGCTGGTCATGCGCAGGACACCAATAGGCACAGACCGTAATCACAACAGGTAGGAAAGAAGGAATATCTTTGTGGGTGATGAGGACTGTGGAAAAGTGCCCTGTATCAGGACTTAACTGAAGATGCTGGTTTTAAATGAGTCCTTCCTTGTGTTGATTACTGGCCTTCTATCACTTTTCTTAACACTAGACGAGGGCCTGATTTACTCAAATATAATCATAATTATAGGGCACAAATTGCTGCATCTTAATGCACAGAGCCTGTCTGCTCGGATATCTCCACCATACTGTATCATTCTCTATAACTGTTTCTTTCTTACCTTACTGTTCAGGAAGTCTAAGGGAATCTTATTCTCTCCCAACTAACAAGGCAACGTGCCTAATTACTTCACTTCCCTGTTGCCCCATTTCCCTCATGCTTCTACTTTTTCTCGCATTTCCTGCTTATTTTATTCCTGAATAACTACTGCAAACTCTCGTTACATTTTAGCTGCATTTCAGCTGTCTATTACTTATTGCTATACATGAATATAGCAGACTTATATCCCACTTTTCCTCAAGAGCTCAAAGTAGCACTTGCGCCACCATTTTACCCTTCAATAAGGACTCTCTAGCATATATTGATGTGAGAGCAGAGTTTCTATGGTTGAAGTGGGAGTTTGATTTTTGTCCCATTGCCTTCTTCCCCCTGAACTAGCTCAATGTCTTAGAGCTGCTGCAGCACAGGACATTTTAAGTCCTATTTTTTTCTCATTAAGAGCTTTACATAGTTAAACCTTGCTTTCTGCTTTTATCTGAGCAGCCAGGAATGTTTACTGGCATAGCAATTGATCCAGTTTCTAAGGGTTGGATGTAGAAAACAACTGGTTTGGTCCCTCATATCTAATATGATCTCTTTATTTTAGGTATTGGCTCTTTTCCGATGAAGTTCCTGGCTTATTCATAGAGAAAGGGTGGGTACATGATGGTATAGATTATAGTTTTACGCCTCCAGGTGAGGAGGAAGAAGAGGAGGAGGAGGAAGAGGAGGAGGAAGATTACCAGCAAGGTAAGCTTGATTACTTCTCATCTCTCATAAGTGAAACAATGTCTGAACTGTTGTTGTGAATATCAAATATAAAATCCCTTTATTAGACTGGTGACACTGACTCAAATTAGTAGATTCCAAATTTGATGGAATCATGTTTGTATCATTGGAAATTAAACCTTTTTTTTCAGCTACATAAACACTATACATTGTATTTATGTTACAAATATTAAATATTTATATTTAGCATTAATATATAACGAGTGCTATGTTCTTTAAAGTAATCACTCACTGAATATTTTTCTCAAGATAAGGCTTTTCGTTAGGATCTTTTTGTTCAGTCAGTTTATATTTACAGTAGGATTTATATGGAAAAGAGTGCTATAATCCAGGGACTTCAGATAAAATAGTGAAATAAATCATGTTGCAGTCTGTTATCTCCTGCCCAAAGAAGCAAGCCACATTGCTCTGTAGAAATCACAGTACAGTATCTTGTGAAATGCAGTTATACTGTCTCTGATACCGTGTTTTCCCAAAAATAAGCCCTAGCTTGATTTTTTACACATGCGCCCAATATAAGCCCCACCTCAAAAATAAGCCCTAGTTTTGGGGCGAGGCACGTGCATAAAAATCAAGCTGGGGTGGGGGGTGGATCTGCCCTACTCACCTGCACCGGCTTACCTTAGGATCGTTGCAGCGAGGTCACCCAGGCCTTGACACCTGTTGCACCGCTGCCTGAGTTCTGCGGCCACTTGCAGCACCAGTGTGATCGGCACGATATGCCGCATGGCCTCCTGCCACGAACAGCGGCACAGGTGTGATCATCACAATGTGCCGTGCAGCCTCCTGAAAGGGGGGCATCAGCATAACAAACGACGCAGCTTACCACGAGTGTCAGCGGTTGCGCAAAGTGCCACGTGCAGCTGAAAGTGGCCACAGAAGAACTCAGGCAGTGGCACAACAGGTGTCGGGGCATGGGAGGCCTGGCTGCGGCAGTCCTAATATAAGCGGGTAAGACATCACCCCCAAAATAAGACCTGGTGCCTCTTTTGGAGGCAAGAGAAATAAGATCAGGTCTTATTTTTGGGAAAATACGGACTTCCAATTTTGCATTTCTGTCTGACATTTTGCTTAGCATTATGCATTTTCTTAAGGAAAATATTAATTTACCTATTTTCCACACAAGTACATGGACACAATTCCAGTGTTTTTTATTTTCCATGAATTACCTGTTTAGCCATTGGTATAATGATGTGGGTTTTCTGGATAAAATTGTAGTAATTGGTATTTGATTTACATTTAGTAAACAAATTGAAGGAGCATATCGTGTTAATTTTTTACACACACTATAGATCAGTGGTTCTCAACCTGTGGGTCAGGACCCCATTTGGGGTCGAACGACCATTTCACGGGGGTCGCCAAACAACGCAGTCCGCCATTTTTTTCACCTTTTCCTTAGCTGTGCTACTCCCTTTTATTCTATTGGCTTTTGAAAGCCAATAGAATAAACTCTCTTGAATAGAGTCTAATTCTATTGGCTTTCAAAAGCCAATAGGAATTGTCCAGGCTGTCTCTGCCCTGCTGAGCCCGCCAAAAGCCCCAGTCTGCAAACGGTGCTGCACCAGTTGAGTAGTCCTCGACTTACGACCGGTTGGGGGTCACAGCATTAAAACGGTTGAGAACCACTGCTATAGATAGCTAAAATGTATTTTTTAACTGGCCAGAAATAGTAAAATTTGAAAAAAATAATGGAGTACGTGATGTAATTTTTAATGTCTTATTCTTATAAAGTTATTTGTTAAGATAGTATTAAATGTAGCTTGCTTCCTATAATTCCAATTAAAGAAACATGTTGAAAAATCTATCTATATCTATATTATATATATATATATGTAAATGTTTGTTTGTTCAAAATCTTAAATCTCCAAAAGTTCTTCACCAATTGCTTTGAAATTTTGACACAACGTTGCATTCGAATACGCGTGTGTTTTTATATACCTATATTATATAGATGTCACACCTGTGACAGATAAAAACATGCTTTTTGTGAAAAACAGCGCCATCTGTTGGACATAAAAGCAACACATGCTACGATTTCAGACAATCTCTATATCTGCGCAGACAATGGAACAACAAAAAATATTGTATACCCACAAGCATTGTGAAATTAAACATATTACAAATGTGTGCTTTCTCTTTTCTTTCTTTTCCATTTAACCAGACAGCCACAGTAACGCATGGCCGGGAACAGCTAGTGCACTAATATAATAAAATTGTGCATGTAAACATTTATGCTTTCCATGGATGGTTACAAAATAGTTTAATGAGATGTTGTGAGGCTTTGCTTTATTATATGCTAAAGTAGCAGTGGAAACTCTGCAACTAAAACTGTTTTGTTAATTAATGCTTATAATAATTACAGACGCACAGGAAAACCTGGTGGAAGGCAGTATTTTGAACACCCCACAAGGGATCCTGCATATTCCAGAAATACCTGTTGAGACATCAGTACCAAAACAGGGACAGAACCTGTGGTGAGATAGACTTTTCCCCATACCTATCAACAAAAAAATCGGGTGGGGAATAATATTTGATGTATTTCTATTCTCATACCATCTATTCATGATTGAAATTTGGGTATTTAGACCTTTGGAGAAGTATTCAGAATGTTCTGGATGCTTATATACATGTTTACATTATTCCCTTTGGGGTAAGGATCATTATCCAGAATAGAAAAGAGTAAAAATTAATAATCCAAAGGAATTAAGCAAGAAAAAGGAATAACACCATTCACTGTATTTCCCCATACTGTTTTGTCCTTCTAAACAATCCTCAATTCCACACATCCATCGATATAATGTATTTTCTGAATGGCTATTTTTTTTTTTTGCCAGAAACTGTCAAAAAAAAAAGTCACATATTGTGGTCACATAATCACAGAGCACTGCAACTGTTTGTAAAGGCATGGTCACATGGCCCAGGAATCTGTGGACAGAAATGGTTTACAGGTTGTAAAGCACCCGTTCTGGGCCTGTTGTAATTTTGAATGTTAAGTGATCAGTCGTAAATCAAGAACTACCTGTAGTTTCATTGCCCATTACTATTTAATTATTTTAGAAACTGATATATTTTGAAAACAGCATTGAATTTATAACAGAAACTTAATAAAGATTTAATTTAGAATTAAGGAGGTCAGTGAGAACAATTAATAGTGGAATGGCTTTCCTCCAGAAGTTGTGGGTGCTCCATCACTGGAGGCTTTAAAGAAGAAACTGGACAGCCATTTGCCCTCCAACGTCCCTTACAACTCTGTTATTCTATATTCTGATTGTTAAGTGTTGTGTCATAGAACTGAAATCAGTTTTAGAACTGAAATCTAAAAATCTTTAATTAGAATGTTTGGTTTAAACAACTGTTGATTCAGAATTTTGTCAAAATATATAGACCACAAGACCTTTCTTTTGAAGTGTGCCAGAGATCTACTTCCTGCTTGCAGAACATTTTGTTGCCTGCTTCTTTGAAGTCCTCATTTTTCCAGAGTGATGTATTTGTTTACCAGTAGAGGGCAGAAAGAGCAGTATAATTTGTCCAATGAAATAGGTGTCAAAATGTTGAATTATATGATTCTTCTTTTACTTCCAAAAGTCATTAAAATGCTAAACTACATATCTAAAATGGTACAGGTAGCCCTCAATTTACGATCACAATTGGGCCTGGAATTTTGATTACTAAATGATTAGTTATAAAGAGACTGAAACCAGGGCAATTCCTGTTGCTGTCGTTAAGTGAATTTTATGGCTAGCAGTGCAGCACAAAAGGAAATTTTGGTGCACTTTGGCCCCTTTCAACTGTTTTGTGCATTTATTTGGGGTTTTTTGTCGTGTGAAGCCAGCCCCATATGACCCATTAGCCTGGCCTGCTTTGTCAATAGTGGGAGCAATAAGACTTCAATATTATAAAACTTTACATGCGTGTAAGCCATCGTATCCTTGAAACAGATAGAGATTTTTTTCTGATAATATAGGAAATGTCACACACTGCATAAGTACCTACATTAATAGATGGTCTGAAATAGTGAGATGGATTAATAATTTTATCTGGCACGGTTGAAATATGCCTTTTGTTGTTACTGTCAGAGTATTGAACAATTTGTCCTCTCTTCCAGGTTTCTCTGTGACAGTCAGAAAGAGTTGGACGAACTACTAGCCTCCTTGCATTCCCAGGGGATAAGAGAGAGCCAATTGAAAGATCGGTTACAGATTAGGTGAGGTTTCCTCTTCACTTGCTGCAAAACTATATGGCACTTGTATATGGCTACTGAAGATAGAATGGATTTCTGAAATTGATAATTTTTACCTTATCTGTTTGTGAAACTCTGTGGTTTTGTCACTTTAATGCCAGCAGTCTACATGATAGTTTGGAAGAAGAAATAGTTTACCAGAGGGCTGATTGTTATTGTTTTGGGCTAATGTTTGCTTGTGAATAAAAGATTTGAGGAATTCCATAATGATGCTTCAAGTGTAGATTAAGTCTTTCCAGAACTTTTTAACAGGCATAGCTATACAAAAGGATTAGCTTCTGCTTTCCAAAGGACATTTCATACTTTTTAGCAAGCTTGTATAAACAATTTAACTGAAGTACTAGTATAAAATAACCTTTTGCAGGGCTGCAAAAACATTTAGAATTCCTAAGCGTCAGCATTTGATTTCTGGACCAAGCAGTACTTTGGTTACTCTGTGCTTGCAGTTTGGATCAGCTATAATTTTTCAGCTTATAGAATTGCACAGAGCTTACAACCTACATCTCTTAATAGTTTCCACCCTGGCTCTCGAGGGTGGAAGTTATCCACTAAGTTATCTTCTCCTCTCAGGTATCAAGATATCATACATTCCATTCATTTGGCTCGGAAGCAGAACCTAGGTCTGAAGTCGTGTGATGGCAGCCAGGAATTGCTAAACTTCTTGCGCAGTGATCTTATTGAAGTTGCCACGCGGTTGCAGAAAGGAGGTCTGGGATACATCAGTGAGGGAGAATTTGAAGCCAGGGTGAGTAATAATACTGATGTAGTCCCATGGGGAATATTTCAACCGAGTTTCCAGTTCTAAAGTATAGGGAACGCCTTATTAACTCCAGATCTTGAATTCTGAACATTCATTGAAATGTGCCACTTTCCCCTGAAGCTATTCTGAAGTGTTTTATTTTAAATACAGTAGTTCTTATCTTACAGCCATTCATTTAGTGACTGTTCAAGGAAGTAGAAGATTTGAAATAGCACTTGAAATAGATAATATAGACATGTTCTGTGGAAACTTAACATGTTATTTGTAGTAGCAAAGTTGGGTTTAAAATTGATAAAACACTGTAATAGGGTGTTCTAAAGCGCTGGTTTTTTAGTTAACATATTTTACTGTTAAGAGTTTTGACAAGAATGCCTATAGGCGTGTTTGCTTCTGTGGTAGTTTTCTCATCTGTCGAATGGAAGCAGAAGATTCAGATAAGAAATAGAAAGTCCTGCACATGCTACAAATAACTAACAGCAATGTCTTTCTAATTAGGTTTGTTCATTGGAGAGCCTAAAAGATTTTGGGGAGTGTGTGATTGCTCTGCAGGCCAGTGTCATCAAGAAGTTTTTGCAAGGCTTCATGGCTCCCAAACAGAAGAAGAGAAAACATCAAGGGGAGGATGCTGTGGCCAAGGCTGAGGAAGTTGATGAAGAGAAGAGAGTAGCAGAAGAAGCCAAGGTCTTGATTAATGTAGATATAAGCTAAACATCTCTGGACTGAAAAGGCGACAAAACCTGAGCTGATTGCATGAAGTTGTTGATGCATGTGTGGGCTGTTTGAGCCTGAGAATTCAAGTTATTGATGTACTTCAGGGCATGGTCTTCCTTTCTACAGTGAGGTTTAAGAGAGGCTGCATCTTCTCCCCTCCCACTTTAAAAAAAAAAGTCAAATGGAGCTGCTGTCCTTTGAGTCTGCTACAAAAAACCTCAAAGCCTAGAATTTATGAAAGGCTGTCATTCTTGCCTAAGATCAGTGTTTCCAAGTAGGCATAAGTATCATCTAACATCCTGAGATGTTAATTCTTTGTGGTCATTTTCATTATATTTTTAATGGAGAGATTTTCTTAAGAAAGGGTCACCATTTTCAACATATGAAAAGTACAATCTTTATGTTTCAAATTTACAAACTTTTGTTTGCCTTTCAAAATGACTCCTGTTTATTTTTATTCTTCTAGAAGTCTCCATTGAGAACAGCTGCTTCTCTTTGGCTGTTGTTTGCTACTGTATAGTTGTCTGGCTTGTATGTTGTCATCTGTTTCTCCTCTTCCCTACTTGGCCTTGTTGTGACTGATGTTTATATGACCAAATGCACTGTCTTACTGCCAAGAGAATGGCGGCTATACTATAGATTAGAAAGAATCAATGCAGCCAGGTCCGAGGGACAAAATGTTACCAACTTAACTGCCCTTTTCATTATAGTTCCTCGGCTGCAAATATTTTTTTCCTTTAATGTAATCTACCATAATGATGCATATGGTAGATTACAGGACATTATAAATTGCTTCATTGTGGGCTGGTGAATTTACACTGCACCACTAAGTGGTCCCTTACCTTACCTTTGAATGTGTTTGCCTTTTGGCTATTCACTCAAGTCCTGCTTTCCTTGTTCCCCTCTCACCTAAGGTACTGAAACCTTAAGATTCTTGACATTGAGATCCTAGAGGGTTACCACTGACCCTTACTTTTGGGGGAAGTCATGCTGAGTGCTTAATTCTTTTTCCAGTATGGGGAAGCAAAAGCCGCCAAGAGCTTCAAGTTTATTTTGGCCCAATCTGATAGCAGCAAATCTCTAGGAGTAGGTCTTTGGAAAGCTAATGTGTCCGAGAAGCTAGCATTCTGAGCATTGGGGGGGGCTCTCACAATTTTCTACAATCCTGGCTACTTCTCAATCTAGGTCTGTCCCAATGAACAATGAGGAGAGAATTCTAGACTGGTGTGAAATTTTGTTTTCTTAGCTGTCCGGTTTACTTGGCATTTCCTTGAATTCAGTGGGAGGGGAATGTGCAACTCTGCAGAAATAGATGGTTTTATTTGGCTCCTGAACTGCTATTAACAGCAGAGCTCAGCCATTTCTTCTGTCATTCAGTTGCCTTTACTAGGAGAATATTAACTCAGGCATCCTAAGATTTGCCCATGTTATCTTTTCTATTTAATGCAGTAACAGGTTTATACCTATGGAGAGGGCTGCATATCCTCTAACTAGCCATTAATAGCAAGTTTATTTGAATGTGATTGTTTTTATGTTCTTTGCTTGTGTTAAAACTGCAAAGCTATTAGCACCTGAGCACAGTTATTCAGAAGGTTCTTGTGTTTGAGCATCTTTGTTTGACTGTGGTCCCCACTGGTGCTGCTTGTCCACTCTGTTTTACCTCTGCTATTGTACTGCTGTTATGTATGTTGTCAGAGGTCTCCACTAGGGGGCAGCCTAGCAAGTCCTTTGGATTTATATCCTAACCCTTGCCTCCCCAGCTGTCCCTAGAGTTAACAGCTAAAGTTCTACTATTTGTTTCTCTTTGATGGCAAGAATTTAGTTCAGATTTCAAAGTCAAGAATGCAGCTGGTTTCAAGCTGGCCATGTGAAGTTGAACGAGAGTTATGAATCTCTGAGGCTGTGGGGAAGAAGAATTTTTAGTAGTGCCCTAAAAGATAGCTGCTGTGAATCCTAGGGAATGAGCACAAAATGTCTTCCAGTTGCTGGGAATTTGGGCCTAAGATCCTTGTTCTGCCCCTAGGTTGCTTCAGCTGTGGAGAAATGGAAAGTGGCAATCCGTGAGGCACAAACCTTCTCACGTATGCACGTGCTGCTTGGTATGTTGGATGCCTGCATCAAGTGGGACATGTCTGCAGAAAATGCCAGATGTAAAGTATGTCGCAAGAAAGGTGGGTATTCCATTTGAGTCAACTGCTAGTTTTCCAATGCTGTCAAAACTTTGAAAGGAGGCATCCTGTGAATACATAAAGCAGTTGCCCTTCCATTCCGCCAGAGAAAGATATGGATCCCCACTGTTTTATTTTTTTTGATTTTCACTATGTTTTTATCCCAGGCTTACTCTCAAGGAGCTTAGTGTATAGTATACATTGGGATAAGAACCCCTTTTCACTACTAGATCCAACATCCTACCTGGAGTTTTGAAAACATGTTCTGTGTGATTGTGCAATACAAAATACCCCCTTTAGTGAATAATCTGGTGAGTTTCTACCTGCCATCACCTGGTTCCCCAGCATACATTTTAACTATCTCAGCTTTTTTCTTTTCTTAGTAGATGGGCAGATTTCCAAAGAACTGAACTACAGCCATCTAGTCAATCCTGTCAAAGGCTGTTCTCCAACAGGCCTGCTTGTTTATTTCCCTTCTTTATTCTTTGGATTACCAAATTGTTTTTTGCCCTGTTCCCCCAGGTGAGGATGACAAACTCATCCTGTGTGATGAATGCAACAAAGCTTTCCACCTGTTTTGCCTGAGACCAGCCCTCTATGACATCCCAGAAAGAGAATGGCAGTGCCCTGCTTGCCAGCCCTCAGTGGCCAGGCGGAGCTCTCGGGGCAGGTAAGACTTCTCTGGTTTGCAGATGCCTTTAACAGAAAGGTAGTTTATCTGAATATATTTGCCCATGTCCTCTTACTCTATATTAGGTTCACTGAACTGCAGCAGGATTTGTATGCCATTCCTAGCTATTTTGGACATGACATTATAGCTTTTGTTTTTAAAATAAACAGGCATTGCAAAAAAATATTCTATCAGTTGAGTGCATTTGTTGTTTTGGCTGCTGCTCGGCCAGCCTGTCTTCACTAGATATAACATGGAATGCAAACATGAAGCCTGGTGGGGTACAATCCTGTAGAATGGCTACATGGGGAAAGCAGGATTTTGAATATCAAATCTTTCCTCTAGAAACTATGCTGAAGATTCAGTTGAAGAGGAGAGTGAAACTGAGGAAGATGAATCTGAGGAAGATGATGATGATGGGGAGGAAGAAGAGGAAGAAGGCTATGAGGTTGCTGGATTAAAATGTACGTTATACTGAAATTAAAGGGCAACAAGTCCTCCCTGAGGGATTGAGCAGGTTCCCTTCCTGTTAGTTTAATACAAAGGATCTTTTCTGTTTCCCGGTTCTAAACTGCAGGCAGTGAATGTCTTACTAGCAGTCCTGAACTAGGAAGGTGCTGCTGACTGTTTCTGAATTGGTTTCCTGATTTGTGATAGTTCTGCATTGCTTGAAAAGTAACCAAAAATAGGTATTGCTTCCAGGGAAGAGAATGAGAAGTGAATAGTTGGCACTTCTTTGTCTTTTAAGGCAGTATGTAATTGCAATAAATCTACTGCAACAAATTATTGCAACTCTTTTAGGCATTAAATTGTAGAACTTCTTAACTTTTAGATAGTGGCACCTAAAACTAGAATAGCTTAAAGAGCAAGGTACAAATTTCTGGGTTCATGTGATCAGCATTTTGTTATTGCCCAATAACACTATGGATTGTTGCAGAGTGTCCTTGATCAAAATGGACTTATTCTGTGGATCCAGAAGCGTTCCAGATTTTATAGAGATAGATAGATGGATGGATGGATGGAAGGAAGGAAGGAAGGTAATTTTCAGATCAGTGGCACACAAAACCAGAATCCTGTGATAACACGCAGGCTTATAAGAAGTTCAGAAATGCCACCACTATAAAGTTCACACTATATTATGGCATTTGCAGTAATTATCTAGGCAGATCAGGTCTTTGTAACATTCCTTGTTGGCATGGAATTCTGAAAATCAAAAAGAATATGTTTCATATCAAAATTTAGCTTTTACTATGTATGCCAGAACTATGCCTCGTGCAAAAAATAAAACACTCTACTGCATCCAAGTACTTGTGAAAAAAGTTTTTGCACTGGAGAAAATGTTCCCTTTGAGAAGAAATGAAATCCTTTGTTGTTTTTATAGTTAAAGGTTTTGCTGATAATATGCACCCATCTAATTCCCCAGTAGACTGTCATCACTTGGATTCTGATGATCCTGTTTAACCGACCAGTTGCAAATGTGGTCAGCTTTTTGAAAATCTTTCATTGACATTTCAAGTATCAGTTCCCAACCCCTGGGGACTCATCTTGATGTGGTTTGAAAACCATTTAAGACTTAATACTCTAATACAGCGGTTCTCAACATTTGTGTGACGGCGACCCCCGTCACACAAACGTTCTGCGCATGCGCGGTGGCGCCCCCATGCTCAACGCGCATGCGTGGCGCCCCCTGAGGGGAGAAAATGGCGGATCGCCTTCTTTGGCGACCCCCGAAAAATGGTCAATCGACCCCAAATGGGGTCACGACCCATAGGTTGAGAACCGCTGCTCTAATACTAATCACTTGTACTCTGGGGTTCAATCCTTCCCTGTAACAGTTTCATAGGTAGGTCATAGTTATTTCCTCATTGGGAAATGAAGCCCAGGAGAGAGAGACCCAAAGAAACAGACTCTGTTGATGTCTGAGGGATAGTGTGAATGCAGCTTTCGGAGTGGTCCCTACTCTGGTGGCACCTGGTTCCCATTCAGAGCTGTCAGCATGTGAGCTTCTGCTTATAATTGCTGTCTAGATTTTTGTGGAGCCTTTTCCAATCTTGAAAGAATGCTCATCTATTATAAGTATTTATGTCTGCTTTTGAAGTTTGTTCAGGCTCCTTCCTGCCGGCCTGACCAGGCCCAGGTGAGTGTCTCTGTCACTAAAAATAAAGCCTGCACCACAGCCACAGCTTTATGAGGCATTTAATTGGGAAAGGTCATGATGGAGAAATCTTTCATTTTGGCAGAGTCCTGTTTAATCCTTGGTACAGCGTTGATCCAAAGTATTCTCATAGAGAATGTTGGACTGCCAGATATTTAGCACATGTTGCTCTCTCAACATAAGGGGAAGGGACCCTTAAACAGATGGTGTCCCTAACAGAAATAACCTGTATTGGACAGTGATGAATGAAAATTGTACCCTATTAAGTATCTTTTCTGCTGTGGATTGAAAACTTGCTGTGAAGGTTGATTCTCCTTCATTACTGGGGGGAAAAAAAAAAACCAGCATCCGCCGCTTGACATAAAATAGTCAGCAAGAGTATTTGCTGCAGTGAAGTTCTATTGTTCAAGCTGTCTCCTTGTCAGCTGGCAGGAGAAATTCAATACTCGATGCAGGCTGCTGAGGGGGCTTAGCAGCTGCCTTAACCCACTGTGTGGGCCAATTATGAATGCTTGGAATGATACTTAGCCCAGCCAATCACTCTTTTCTGGTGAACATATGATCGGCAGAAAAATGGAAGCAAAGAGTCTCTGGGGCATCGTGCAAACCTGTTCTTGACTTCTCGCATTGAGATCTGATCACGAGAGCCAGCTGAACGAGGGAGCTGCTTTTGCATCATCAACAGCGTAGCCTCGAGTCAGGATGAGCAGGAATGGAAAAGTGGGAGGGAAGCAGAAGGAGAGCCCTTCAACAGAACACTTGAATGCTTTAGACAGTGTACTAATTTTAATTGAATTGTGTGTAAAAAATCGTTGATAATAGAGCTCTCAAGTTTGTTTTTGGATCAGGAGTGAAGAAACTTAAATTGATTACATCTGTTTCTATCTTGGGAGAGTGAGAGAGAAAAATGACCTACCGGTGCTCAAATAGCTTTTATAAAGGGATTTTTTTTTACTGATCATTTGTTTCCTATTAATAAGCATCAGTTATTAGGATTATCTGAAAATAGAATGAGTGCCTTAGGAGTAGCTTGGAATCTTTCCTGGACATAATGGCTGGTTGCATCCTATTACCATTCTGCCACTCCTCCAGTATTAAATCATTACACCCTCTCTCTGATTTACAGTAAGACCCAGGAAAGCAGCCAAGGGGAAGCAAGGTGGCATAGCGGCAGATCCTCCAAGGCGGGGTAGGCATCAAGGCAAGAAGCGAACCCTCCATGCCACTCGAGGGTCCCGACAGCAGACTGCACCTGTCACTGAAACTGACATTGATGAGCTGGTAAGAGCTACGGATCTCCAGATAATATTTTTAGTAGTTAAAAGTGGAACGGGTCTCTGTATCCATCCTGCCTTCTTTTTCCAAAGAAGCTCTTCCTGTGTGCAGGGTTAAGCATCTACCTGATAAGTATGTGTGTGTTTTTCTCTCTCTCTCTCTCTCTCTCTCTCTCTCTCTCTCTCTCTCTCTCTCTCAAGATTACCTGCTTCTCCCCCCTCCTTTTTTACTTGATTAGTACTTAAAGGTTTTTAAATAGCTGTGAGTCTCTATTAAGTGATGAGGCACGGAAGCTCATTGGTATGCTGGCAATGCAAAACACCACATCACTTCCAAAGCAGCTCTTAAGGACATTTGTTGCCTGCGCAGCCTGCCTGCCAAAAAAATAATTCAGCTATCTTACATTTCACTTGACATTTAAAAGAAGAAAGCTTTGGGCTTTCATTTGGGAATTATTCTTTTCCCTACCCCTGTCTCCTGAAGTCTTGGATGACTGAAACTGCAGCCATAAAACTTAGCACCACAGAAATGGAGGAGTTACCAGCTTCCACTTAGGAGATGCTATGCTGTACAGAATGGTTTGTGGTATCTAGTATAGGTCATGTTTGTGTCCTTTTGTATTTGAAATCTAAAAAAGCACATAAGTTCTTGCCAAGGTACAGTTTAGCATAAACCCTGCCTCACTTTCTCTCTTTTGTGCATATTTCCCCTGCATTGATGCGAAGGAGGTAATTTTTGTCCCATCGGTTGTATAACTTAAGAGAGGCCTTCTGTGTCTGGAGGGGAAGGAGTTTGCCAGGGTCCTTTTGTCCTTCCTATACTGGTATCTGGTGTCAGGAACATTGCTATCCCGATTCTTCAGGTTGCTTCCCTGTTGCGCTGCATGCTGTGCACTACAAGTGAGCCGTGGTTCCCACCAAGCAGTGCTTGTTGCTGGTGCCCTGCCTTGGTTGCCTAAAAGCTTTTTGGAGACGCTTGCTGCCCCAAAGAGTCACTGGGCTGCCTCAAAGGTATCCTGCTGGTTTTCTGATTAGGGCTCAAAACCGAAACTCAAACTAGGATGGAGGCATTCTTTGGCTGCCCCATCAAAGCTGCAGCAGCTGCCTGGTTTGTTTCATGCTTATTGCTGGTAGCATAGCAAGTCTTGAAAGTCTTTGTGGAATGGTTTCTCCTCTGTTTGCTTTAATAGAAAGCTTTGTCAAGCTTCCCATAGACAGACTGCTCTCCCCAGCTAGGAGCTCCTGGGCACATTGCCAGTAATATGTACTTGTCACCAGACACGTGGGGTTCTGCCGTACATCATGAAGAGGTCAATTCTTGTATGGTTTGGATCTGTGCTGTTCTGTTCTTCCTTTCTGACTGTCTTTGTAATATAGGTGCTTCAGACAAAGAAGATGTCTCGCAGGCAGGCCCTGGAGCTGCAAAAATGCGAGGAAATCCTAAATAAACTTGTCAAGTACCGGTTTAGCTGGCCTTTCAGGTGAGGCCTCAGGAACCAATGGCAGATCTCCACCCCTGCCCATGTATGCACAAACATGACTAAATAGAATCAGAAAGCCCCCAGTTTGTCTATGTCTTCTGCATATTTTATGCTGGTGGACAGTTGAAAGCAGCATGGATCATTCTTAACAACCTCCCTCCAACTCAAGAAAGTGAACCCTGTGTTTTCACACTTGGCAACTTTACAATGTGTACACTTTAATTCCTAAAATACCCCAACCAGCATTCACATATCTTAAAATGGCCAATGTAAAACACTCTGCTCTAAATCATAGCATCCTGACTTGATACTTGCTTTAGAATAATCAGCCGTGTGGGTACTCTGACAGATAGGAATATGAGTGGGAATAATGGACTAAAGGAAGTGCTTTATCACATAGCTAACACTACTTAGAGTATAAGGAAAAGTTCTTCATATGCCAAATACAGATAACTCCTTTTTTGGAGATGGGGTACTCTCTTTTAATCACACTAGGTAGACAGTATGGCTTACCTCCCATTCTTTAACTCTTTAAAGTTTGGAATTATATTTTGGCTTGATGATAATAGCTTTTTCTGAGTACGTAGTGAGTTAAACCTTGTCAGTGCGATAAGATGGGGATATGCATAGTATGCCCCTGTCAAAAGCAAGCAAGGAACTAAAAACAGAAGCCTAGCACTTGGCTATAGTAAATGATGCCCTAATTAACATTTAGCGTTATTTTGTCAGGGAGCCAGTAACCACAGAAGAGGCGGAAGATTATTTTGAAGTGATCAGCAGCCCCATGGACTTCCAGACAATGCAGAGCAAGTGCTCATGTGGCAGCTACCGTTCTGTGCAGGATTTTCTCTCCGATATGAAGCAGGTCTTTGCCAATGCCGAGCAGTACAACCAGAATGGCAGCCATGTCCTTACCTGCCTGGAGAAGACGGAACAATGTTTGATAGACATGTTGCACAAACATCTGCCTGGCCACACGTACATGCGCCGGAAACGCAAGCGACCTTTGGTCCAGCCTGGTCAGGAACTCGGGGAAGCCGATGGGGACAGCGATCCTGAGGCATTGGAGTACACGAGGGGGCGCAGGAGGAAGAAATGAAGGGTCCGGGATGGGACACGATTGGAGCAGGTCTCAGCAGGATCCGCTGCCCTGATGGAGTTCAGAGGTGGAAGCTGCTCAGCTTCACACTGTCCTCCCCCGCCCCATTCCTCTCACCAGCTTTTCCGTGGGCTTGTTCTAATTGCTGTCAGCAACTAATCAACCAGCTGTCAACAGAAAAGATGGATTTCTGATTCCTCAACTGTGCACATAGTTTGTGCAAATTAAGGAGATACAGCGGACATGGGGATGAGTGGATGGAACCATTTTCAGCTGGGAGGGTGCAGGTTGTCTCTGAACCAGAGCTGCCCTCTTCCTCCTCTCAGTTTGTCCTAATGGCAAGTGAGAGAAATGAGCTGCCACATGAGAATTTATAATCTCCTATCCCACAAACCCTCTCCATCGACCCTTGAGGAAGCCACCTTTTAAAATGGGCAAGCACTTACCTTTCTTAGGCAGCCACCTTTCACCAGCATCTTTGTGCAGGCCAGCTTTTGGGGTGCTTATCATTCTCCAGCCTCCTGATGTGGGCAGCAGGGAGAGTTGTTTCCTCCTCCCAGCACTTCCTGGCGCCAGGTGCGCAAGAAAAGTGTCATAAAAACCCAGAGTTTTGGGAAAGGACACTGGTTCTAACTTTATAAATCTTTTTTGTAGTTAAGGAAAGAATCTCCTGTCCAGCAGTGATCTTGTATAAAAACACCGTGTAAGATAAAGTCGCTTTGACTTTGATGTGCATTGTACAGTTTATATGAGGATGTGTTCGCTTTATATTCCTCCCTTTCTATAAGTCACTTGTTTTTGTTTTTTTCTTAAAGAAAGTAGTTGGAGCTGACCCAGGAAATCTGTCAGGTTGTACACTTTGTAGAACTTGCTCTTGTCTCCTTTTATAGTCATATCGCCTCCAACCTGTCTCATCTTCACCTTCCATTGCTGGGTTCCAGATCAGGCCGAAAAGAGAGTCTGACCTTGCACACTAATGGCCCAGCCAGAGACAGGGATCTGTCAAAGAGGTCCCTTGGAAGCCTGGGTACCTCATGAAGATTTCGTTCAGTTGAGGATTTCTGTTCGGCTTTCTGTCATTTCAAGAAATATATATATTTTTAGCTTTGTATTGGAAGCTGTGGGGCTGAGAAGATGGAGTTTTCATTCTTTGAAATGAATCCTATCTCTCCAGCTTCTCTTTGCTGGAGCAGGAAGTATGTGATACCTGATAATCATAGCCTGACATTATATCCTTATCTTTTGGATTAACACTTCTGAATTATTCCTGCCACAAGAGCATCATCAGGTCTCCGAGGTCCCTTTTTGCTACCAACATCCATCAGTGCGATCTGCCCCTTCTTTTCCCTCTCCATCTTTTACTTTATTTTCCCAACTTCTACACAATGGGACTTTTTTGGACTAATTTTTTTTTTTAAAAAAAAGTTGTTTGGGGGAGGGGGATCTGCTAAGGGCTGTACTTGTAATAAATTGGAAATACAAAAACTGAATTTGTTTTTCTGCCTGCTTGAAGATTCAGATCCTTCTCGTATACTTGCTAGTCTGAAGATTTAAAAGTTATGGGTCGTGTTCTAGAACTTTTTTACTTATTCTACATTTCTGGATAGGAGAATTCTAAACCTGGCAAAGCTGAAGCTTCCAGTATTTAGGTAAATGCATTTTAGTTATTTGGACACCTAACTTGAAAGCAGCTACCTTGGGATGTCATTGCTAGCGTACATGTTAAGTGAGGGAGGTTCTCCTAAACCAGGGGTGGGGAACCTTGGCTCTTTTATGACTTGTGGACTTCAACTCCCAGAAGTCCTGAGCCAACAGGTTCCCCACCCCTGTCCTAAACCTATAGTGGGCCATAGTAGCTCTATAGAGCTTGCTGCACTAGAAGAATAACTTTTAGCTTAACTGCCATTATATGTGTGTACAAGAGCCCTCCATGTAGCAAAACCCTAATTCTAAGAAGAGACAGCTGAGATACGGCATCTCCTTTCTCAGATGAACCAGCAGCAATAAAGCAATAAGATGCATTGATCCCACAAGCACCAGCTTCAAACACATCATTAGCATGCAGTGCAGGGTGAACTCTCCAAGGATAAAGCAGACTGTTGGCCCTGGAGAAGAATTGACAGCATTTTGATTCTTAATGGTACAAGGAGAAGTATTCTTAGAGATTTCTTTTGACCAGGATTTTGCTGAGCATTCTGGCTCTTTTAGCCTCTGCTTGGCTGCACTTAACCTTTGGACCACCTTAATCAGGATTAGATACATTTAATAACTGCTTAAGTTTGGATTGCCTTTGTTTTGACAACTCTGAATTTAGAGGCCTTGTTTCTGCAGAAGCAGGCCAACCATCAGTCCTTATTTCATCCAAGAGGTCCAGCAGGGGGCAGCACAACCAAGGGTTTTTGCCACTTGATGCCTTATGTAAATATTTCCCTGATTTATATTAACATTCCCCTTTTATTCTACTGTGTTGATACCTTGGATATCTTTATTGTGTGATTTCTTTCCCCGACTCAGATGCAGGACTGTCTATATACACTTATTTAGAAATAAGCTGCCTTCTGGTCATTATATTTTTTGACCCCCCCCCCCCAGGGCAAGAGGTATAATATGGTAATATAACATTTATTGTCATTTACCTATATGCACAATAGCATACTTTAAAATGAAATTACGATGTCCAGCTCTTGAAGGAAGAAATGAAGGAATATGCTCAGGGCAGTTCTACCAGATGCCAAATTATTTGCAAGCAGCCACTGGGATCGCTCCTGGAAATGTAGTGTTTTCCTCATTAAAAGAGTTTAAATTTTCTGATTCTTGGTCATGGGAGACTGACAGATGAATTCATCTGCCTTCTGATTTTGACTTGATCCAGAAGGTAAATATAGGATATTTTAATGTGCCACAAATGGAAAGCAATCTAAGAGTTTGGATGAAGAGTTATATAAATTCAAAGATGATCATATGGAAATGCAGACAAAGCACACAGTAAATGTAAGGAGTGCCTGTGAGTGTTTGCATGCTCTGAAACAGCTTTTTGCTTCCTTTGGCAGATGTTGATCTTTGTCCTTGAGTTGAGTGGCCTTGATCTCTACAGCCAGGCTTTCTGTCTATTCACTGCCTTAGAATAGGTGGCTGAGAGCCCCTCATGCCACAGTGCAGTTCCTTTGCTGGAGCCTATTTGGTCTTCCTCCATGCTTGTTTCTACATCCCAAGCAACAGAATTATAGTCTTTTGAATGCTGGGTTAAATTACTACCTGTTCCTCTGCAAAGGCAGGCCTAGACAGGCATGGTAGAAATAAATGAAAAGGCTATCTGTGTTCATTTATCAGCTCAGGTTTGCAAAGCATTACTAAAATTGCTAGATTAAAACAAAAAAAAAAGTGGGGACATGGCAAACCCTGTAAAGGGCTGAGCTATAGCAAAACACTTGGTTTGAGGCTAGATAGCATATGTAGAAGCATAAAGGATTTCTGGATGAAGTGGCCATTTAGTTTAGTGTAAGCATGCAAATTATACATGTGGCTCTAAAAATCCAGATTTTTATATAAGTGAGTTTAGGGATGGCAGCAATTGGACAGAAAGAAGCCTTCAAGTTGGGGTCAACACCGTAGTTGAAAGAAAATACCCACCCTATGTGTGGCTTGAGTATAAAAGTCAAATTCCAGGCTTGAAGTCATTACAACAGGAATTAAAAATAAAGCTTTGATATAAGATCCTAATACATCTATGGAAATGCTGCGAATATTGAATACAATTCCGGTCCTCTTACCTAAAATGGATATTGTGGAGCCGAAAAATATTTTTTTTAAAAAGGGAAATCAAAATCATATGTTAAGGGAAATATTGTGGGAATTGGGGTTTTTAAGGGATATTTTAGAGGTACATAAATTTATGGAAATGGCAATTATTTTCTAACTAAAATATGTTAAAAGTGATTCATTAAAATAATCAAATGTAGGGTGACAAACTCAATAAAAGGTTGTGGCCATCAAAATGTGATGATGGTCATTGTCCAAAATTTTTAAAGGAACTCAGCAATTTGGGAGATAGGAGGGGGAGGCTATAGGTGACTGCTAATCATATCTATATGTAATCTCATGAATTATGGGAACCATTCTTTAAATCACTACCAGAGGACTGATATTTTTCTGTCAGTGCTTTTGAGAGTTTCTTGTATGTGTCAGTTTGTTGCTGGGTGGCATTAAAAACTAGACTAGATGGGTCCTTAGCAGATCCAGTAGTACCCTTGTGTTATTAGCAGGGGCTCTCCAAGAATTTAAATAGAACACTTTATTAAGCCTGAAGCTAGGAGATTTTACATGCAAAAACATGCTTTCAACAAAGCCTTTTTCATATAAAGTAACGTTTCCCTAAAACTTTGCCTCAGAAAATGGAGACCATCACAGGGCTCTGGCTGGCTCTATGGTTTAGAGTTCTTTGGGACTTTACCCTTTTCTTGATGGGATGGACCAGCTGAGGTTTTCAAATATTCACCCAATTTTCTTAGCTCTCTTTGGGAACTAATATTTTGAAAGACTGCAAAAAAAAAAAAAAAGCAAGAAACAGTCCCAGAAATACAAGTGCATTAGGCTCTAATCTCAAGGTGCTTTCTGAGGCTAGCTGGTGCTAGGGATGAGGAGAGTACACACTTGTGACTCCTGTAGCACAAATACACTGCAAACACTGTGCAGAGAGATGGCTCCTCCCCTTCACCCCAGCCAGCACCATCAACACCCATTGCTTATATGGTCTGCCAAGTGAAATCTAGGGGTATTTGGTTTTTGCCTTTTTCAATGGGGCTTGTCTCGTCCTGAAAGAATTATAATATGAATGATATTTATGTGCCAGGGATGCCAATATAAAGACCTGGATCTTAGCATATCATTCACTTGCCATAAAGTAGAAACTTTGAAATCAAGTCTAGGTAAAGTTAACATTCATGGAACTGTATTATCACTCAAAAGTGCTTTGTTGATTGGAGAGTAATATATTTGCCTAAAGTGGGCACTGAGACCACAACAGTTCTACAACATCTTGGTTGTGCTTAGGCAACATATTTAACCTGGTTATTGAATTAACCATTTTTCTGGGTTTGCACAATATGCTACAATATACGGGAGTTGAAAGTTGTGACCAGGTGATTTTTCTGGGGTAGAAGGAAATGGATAACTAGATTATTATTAATTGGATAAAGTGAGAGCTCCCTATAATTCATCTGTTATTAAATCATTCAGTTGCTTCCAATTTTTTTCTGATACAATGGACATAATTTTGCAAGGATTGTCCACCAGCTACTGCTTCTTGTAGGCACACAGATATCCTACTTAAATCTTTTTTCCTTATGACACTATGAGTATTCAAGCTTGCTACATTACCAGAGGTGAGTCACTTCCTCCCAGATTCATTTTTGTAAACAGCATTTTTCAACTTTGGCAGCTTGAAGAGAATTCTGGGAATTGAAGTCCACCCGGCTTCAAGTTGCCAAGGTTGGTAAATACTGCTGTAAACTGTGAAATGTGGATTAATATACCATGGCTGATCTAGAACACTGAACAAGGTTGATATGGTGTAGCATTTGGATAGGGAACTGCAACTGGACTGTTGACTGAAGTGGGATATCAAGGGAACATCCCAGAAACCAAAATACCTATTTAGGCCTGCCTGCCTCCAACTCAGCTCACAATAAAAATAAAATATGAATCAAAACAAGATGGATTCTGGTCACTATACAGAAAAGATATCCAATAAGGAGCTCCAATTTAAGCCAAGGCTGAGAAGAACAAACAGGTCTTCAGGGCCTTGTGGAATGCCTGCAAAGTGCCAGCCACATTAATTTCAAAGGAAGCTCATTCCAGAAGGCAGGGAAGGCCCGCTTCCTGAATCATGATAGATATTTTATTAAATATCACTGCTTAATTGAAGGAACCTGGAGCACGCCAACTCTTCCGGCATATACCAGCTGGTCAAGAAGCATGGGAGATAAATGGTGCTACAAGTAACAGGCCTTATGCCATATAGGGCTTTATAGGTGATAACTCTCAACTTGAATTGTGTATGGAAGTGTACTGGCAACCAGCATAGTTTATGAAGCAGAGGTGTCACATAAGCATTTCAAAGCATGCCCATCACTGAGTATGGCACTGGGAAGTAAGTAGGGCTTGAATGGCCATCTGAAAAGCCTCATGATCCTGGAAGGGGTACAACTGTGCACCCAATGAAGCTGTACTTTTTGAAGAAGAGCTGTGAATCCAAGAGGGCTATTCCATCCTAGAGTATAGAAGGAAAATCCCTGGGGCTAGGAGGCCCTAATATCTACAATCTTTTAGTAAGATTGAGTCTGCTCCTTCCCACCCAGGCCTGCACAGCCTCCAGGCATAGGGGCAGAAGGGAAACAGCCTTACTTGAGCAATCACTAGTAGATGAACTCAGTCAATAGCATAATATAGATGTTAAACCAGAAGATCAAACCCTGTGGCACCTCACATAAGA